TTCAATTGAAGGCCCGAGTTGAAGACCCGAGTTTGTAGCAGAGATGTCAGACAAGGTATCAATGTTTTTTTGGGCTCAAATGAAAGAGCGGGTCGAGAAATGGCGTGCTAGGGCCTCTAAAGATGGTTCTGAACCGGGGGAGACTCCTAGACCCCAATGTTCTATACATACTCCTAGACCCCATTGTCCCCCCATTGTCTTCGACGATCATTTGTGCTATAGTGGGACCCATAGCGCCATCCATAATTAATATCGACTGCAAATAAAACGAATGTAATGTCTACTCTACCGACACTGTTTGTCGACTGTAAGGATGGTGGACAGATGTGGTTATGGACAGTTTTTTTTATGTGCAATTGAATTTATGTACAGTCGTCGAAGTATGAACGGAGCCCCCCCTGCTTTTGGCAAGCGCGAGGGTGGCGTCCAGAATTCGCGTATCGCCGTGGCCGCCTCACCACCCCGCGGCCCATTCATGAATTATTAAATCCACGGAAGTTGCTCCGTTTCGCATTAGCGCGTTATTCGAACTTTTTTCTCAAGGTTCATCTCTTCTTTCTCTTTATTCCGTCATTCAAAGTTGAAAGTCGCTCGAAAAAATTTTTTTTAACACAGAAATTGCTTCTGACGAGATGAATTAGCCCCTGGAGGTGATAAAATACTCTGAAAAAATTGTGGAAACGCGAAATATGTCGACGCACGCGTGAGGCCGCAGAGGTAAACGTGAGACTCTCCCGCGCAGTCTTGCCCCGTGAATATTTTGTTTGAGCCCGAGTTTCGGATAAATCTACGATTATTTTGATCTATCAAGACACGTGACTCATCCCCATCGACTCCGTAATCAGGTAAGCGAGAGAATCCCAGAGAAGTGTAAACAAAACACTGTTTAACCCCTCGATAGCTCCGAATGTAAACATTTGAGGTTAAGTCGAGTGCTTCGGAGCAATTTCCAAAAGTATCAGAGGGTTTTGTTTTTATTTTAAATGGAGCAATGGCAGGCAAACGAACAGCAACGTCGGAGTTGAATCACGAGAACTGGAACGCTGAGGACGAGCCCGAGGAGGCAGGAACGTTTGCTGTTGCTGCTCAGGAGATTCTGGAGAAGCGGGTTGTGCGCACCGCCAAGAGGAGACTTGGAGCCGGCGAGGTGAGTCGTATTTTTTATTCAGTATCAACATGCGGATCGCAGAATGCACGTTTTCTTCGGGAGTCAGGATTTAAAATTAATTGCGGAGATGTTTAAAGAAGAATTAGTTCAACTCGTGGGTCTCAGGCTTTCTTTTTTGCCAGCTCCTGATATCGATATTATTTAGATTCATGAGACGATTGTCATTATTTATTACTGTTTGTTACTTTTTTAATAATTTGAGGGCTGGGTGTAATAATTGAAGTTCCAGATTGAATGATGATTCTTAGGGTTTTTATTTTCTTGAGCTACTCATGTTGATGTTATTTAGTTCGATTAAATAATTGGCAGAATGCACGTTTTCTTCGGGAGTCAGAATTAAAAATGAATTATGGAGATGTTTAATGAAGAATTAGTTCAATTCTTGGGTCTCAGGCTTTCTTTTTTGCCAGCTACTGATGTTTGATGTTTTTTAGTTCGATTAAATGATTGGCACTATTTTTGATTATTTAGTATTTCACAATAATTTGAGGAGTGGTTTTTATAATTGAAATTCCATCTGTCATTATGGCTCTTACGGTTTTTAGAATAGAATACTTTATTTCCTTAATGCTACTATTACAGTTTTGCATCTGCACAAACCATAGAAAATGATCTCCAGTAACACTCCAATGAATTATGTTTTTATATTAATAATGCATAATGAATAATGATTAATATCTTATTGCTGCATGAGAAATAAATGGGTAATTTTGCATTATATTCCCGTGGTCCTTATAAATTCATTCATCTTTAACATCATTTTCTAACGAAAAACAGTCCCTTCTACCATTTCAATACGGATTTCCGTACGTGTGAAACTATTAAACAATATAATTCCTTCATTTCAAACTCAGGGACCAGCAAAAAACGCTTTCGGAGCATTCGCAGGGTTCAAAACGACCCCACCCCCTATGACAGCAGCCTTCAGTTTCCTAAAATCAAACTCCACTCCAACAATCGCCCCCTCTCAACCCTCAACAATGTTCTCCCTGACATCCTCCAGCAACGGTTCAGCGAAGAACCCGGAGAATGGGCTGTCATCATCATCGATGCCCTCGATGCACCTGGGGAAGGCCCCAGAGAGCCAGCAGAAGGATCCACCGAAGGAGAAGAAGGAGACGATATTCAAGGAGTCCTCTGAATACTTCGCTAAACTCAAGGGACTAAACGAGGGTGTGGCCCAGTGGATCAAGACCCACGTGGACGCCAACCCCTTCTGCATCCTGACTCCCATCTTCAGGGATTACGACAGGTACTGTTCATCCCAGAATTTCTTAAATTATAATGAGTGTGATATGACGGTAAGTTTTTTTAATTCAACGTTTCGATTATATTTCTTATAAAATATTTTTCAACAGTTTCATCGCTTTTTTAAAGTTCATTTTCAATTGATCATTTTCATCGGCTATTGGTAATTTCTTTTGCACGAACACTAACTGATTTTATTAATACATTTATTCATTATTCATTTTTTTAACAATTATTTTTCCTTCGTTAGAAAAAAAAATATTCTCTTAATTGTCTCAAATTGAATTTCCGCTTTATTCCTGAGAAGTTTTAATTAACAAAATTTCGCAGTTATTTAGACCCAAAAATGCCTTTAATTTTATACTCTGTCGAAAAATGAGGGAATGAAGAATAATCAATGGGTTAATGCTTGAATTAATGATTGAAAATTAAAAAGACTTTGCATTGCAACAGGTACCTCAAGGAGATCGAGGCGAAACGTGAGGAGCAGACGAGTAAAGGGTCAGAGGATGCTAAAACTTCTAAAGAGCCTGCAAAACCTACTTTGACGTTTGGAGTGCCTCCAAAGGAGTCCTTAGAGACCTCAGACTCCGTGTTCTCTGGGAAGACCCCTGCCACCCCAGCAGGATCCATCTTCGGCACTGAGACCCCTGGAAAATCAGTTTTCGGGAATGCTGATGGGAAAGGGGCATTTGGAAACGACGTGAACCCATTTTTGAACAAGAATAAAGAGACCTCGGATAAACCTGAGAAGAAGGAGGAGAAGGTGGAGGCGAAGAGCATGTCGTTTCCTCAGACGACGACAGGGACCTTCAGCTTCGGTCAGAGCTCCACCACTGGCACCAGCTCTGCCAGCTTCAGCTTTGGCACTGGAAAACCTTTCTCGTTTGGAACCAGTGTTGTTGCTCCACAAGCGTCTGAGGGCAAGGACGATGCTGACGACAAGGAGGATGACGATGAACCACCCAAGGTCGAGTTTAAACCTGTTACTGAAGTGGGGGCTATTTATGAAAAGAGGTGAATATTATTTTTTGGTGAAAATAGAAAAGTAGTATTTATTTATTTATTCATTCATTCATTCATTCATTCAATCATTGATTCATTCATTTATTCACTTATTTATTCATTTATTTATTTATTTTGATTTTAATCTAACATTACTTTCTTGATTTTTTCTTTTCTCCATTAAAATTCTTCTTCTCGCGAATTTAAATATATTAAAATCAAAATCTCAACATGAAAATCAGTAGATAATTTCCCGTAAAAAATATCTCCTGAGATATTCTCCAAATTGACTCGTTATCACGAGAATTAAAAATTCAAAAAGCCACAGACGCAATTAAATCAATAACAATGTTCGAAATAAAGAAACAAAAAATTTTTTTTCTACAGGTGCAAAGTATTTTTCAAGAAAGATAAAATCTACAGTGATCGAGGAGTAGGAGTTCTCTTCCTGAAGCCAGCGCCCAATGGAAAGACTCAATTAATCGTTCGTGCTGATAATTCCCTGGGTAATCTCCTTCTAAACACCCTCTTAACCGAATCAATTCACACCCAACGGATGAATAAAAACACAGTAATGGTGGTCTGTTTGCCATTACCCGACTCCCAACCACCCCCAGTTCCAGTGCTCCTCAGGGTCAAGACCAGCGAAGACGCTGATTCCCTCCTCGAGCAGCTCGAGAGTAACAAAAAGTAAATAGCTATCAACTCATCAGCCAGTATCGAAATTTCGATAAATCAAACTTTTGGGATGATATTCAGGGTGATTTTGGTAAATTACCAGTGGCAAGTGTATGAGTGATGGTATGAATGAAGCGAGAAGCTTTAGAAATTTTCAGTGATCTTTGGCTATTTGTCAAATTCTTCGTTCCACTGATGATGAAAATGAGATATTTTTATGGGTAAAAAAAATCTACATGACGATTATTAGCAAAAATTGGGTTCATTCGATTGATCACAATTTTCGGATGATGACTTAAAATGAAAATTCTTATTAGATAATTTGCTTTTTTACTACCATTCGTTTAAATGTGAAACTGATGTACACTACGATAAGCACTTGTATATAATAAAGAAGAAATATTCCAAAAAATTCGAAAAATTCTCATGGTTTTTAAAAAATTAAAACTCAATGAATTTTTATATAGTGTGTATTTAATTCAAACTTTAATAGTTATTAAATTTACATAAAATATTACGTTTCTCCATTATACAATAAGCATATACAATATCGTTACTTCATTTAATTTTCCAAGGAGCAGTCGAACCCTAACGACTAATGAACCAGCGGCCAGTGTTAGCGGCTAATGATAACGAGGATGAACGAGACTTAGTCCATAATTTCTGAAATTCCAATAAATTATTCCTTCATTTTCACTCGCCCGAGAAATCCCCTCCATTTCTTCCAAATTCAGACTAGAGCATTCCATGCCATGTCTCATTAAATCCAAAGGATATAACAAAATTCGAATTCCATAATCAACGATTCGCAACTAATCACTAAGATCTGCGAAAAACGAATGAAAAAAAAAAGGGAAAAAAAATCTGATTGGCAGTAGAAGTGGAGAGTCCACAGTGACGATACCATCGCAAGTGCTAGTGTCGAAAGCATCATTTTGTATGTACAAAGGTGTGATGCCTCAATAATCTAAAAAGAACAATTCTCCTCATAATAATAATCGATATCTTTCTATACAAATGATCAATATAATTGAACTCTCTGATCTGCAGTACTTCATCGGTGATTGTTGTCCTCCTCTTGCTAGGCTTTCGGCGCCATGAATGGAGTTAGTGATCCTGTCTGGCCTAGACCAAGCTGAATGTGTTGCATGTGAATTTCCACGCAATTTTGAAACACCTGTTGATTTTGGGGACTCAGTCGTGATCTTAGCTGATCCATTGTTCCTTGGAGGACTTTTAACTCGTATGCGTTGCGATCTGAGTCTGATAAACACTGAAAAAGCAAACAAAAGCAATAATTATCAACAACTCCACGAGTAAAACAACTCTTGAACAAAATCCCTCAAGTTTCATTGAAAATAATTCTGAAATAATTTGAATTTTCAATTCTGCAGTTGAAAAATATCTGAAAAATGTACTCTTTTTTGCAAAATTAATGAATAAAAATTACCTTCACTTGAAGCATAAGAGCAGTCAAATCAGTAACCAACTGATTCATCTTGGTAGGTGCCTTATCATTAATAATATTATTTTTGGAAACCATATCAGCAGCTTCCTGTCTGCATTTCTCCCTCAAATGCGAGGGCACCAGCATCGCAGCGACCGAGGGCTCAGGTGCGATCTCCTGACAGAGCTCCTGCACCTCATTCAAGAACTCCTGCAGAGCAGTATTCATCTTTTCGAGTTCCACCACAACCGAAGCGTACTTTCTCTCAAAATCAGGTGACAGGGACTCCCCAAAGGATCTCCTCTTCTCAGCCTCAGTGTTCATCTCCTTCAGCTTCTTGATCTTGATTTTCTTGGCTGCAAGAATCTTGTTGACCTTCACCATGAACTCCAGGAGTTTAAGGGGAAACCCATTCATTGTGCCACCAATGTGGCTCTTCTTGGGGGCTGAGACCGAGGCATTGGAGATCAGGGGATCGTTGTTGAGCCTTGGAGAACGCAGTTTCAGGGCGTAAGGGGGTGATGGAACGTACTGGACGTGTCTGGGTCGGAATTTCTGCGCAAATGAGGCGACACTGATCGTCTCTGGTGGCTCATTAGATAGTACTTCGTAGTCGGGTACACTGTGGGTGCCCAGACCAGCTCTCTCGAAGGTTATTCTGTAGGTGTTGTTGCTCGTGTCCACTCCATCGATACTTCCAGTGAACAGACCGTCCTGGGGCTTTCTCAGTCTTGCTGTCACCTTTAGGAATTTAAAATGAAATGAAATCTCCCGCAATTTAAAGTAGAACAGATACTAATGTACATCATTGATAAATCTCATTTCATCGAACGAAATTGATTTGAGAAACATAACGATGAATTTTATTGTTAAAAACAAAATTATTCTGACACTGAGAGAAAAAAAAATTTGTTGCAAAAACAGTAATTAATTTTATTGTTTAAAAAAGTTGATTCCGAGCATTTAGCTTGTCATCAGTATTTTAGTTTAGGGTGTCGCAACAAAAGTCAATTTAGGTTCAATGTGATTTTTAAGATCTATATTTAAGAAATTGTGAATTTATTGAGGAATTTATTCGATATCCTTTGACTTCTTGTTGCCTTCACTTTGATTCTTCGTCTAGATTAATTATTATTACAGGATCGAGTGAATGATTTGATTCTATTTGCATTGATTTTGATAATTCTAGTGGTTAGATTCATGAATTCATTTTCAATGCACTGCGAGTCAGAAAATGAGTATAAAACGTCTGAAAATGAAATGAATTGTTAATAGAAAAGAGAAAATTGGTTACGCACCTTCGTTCCAATCACCAGTTGCAGAGGTATCTCTGGGGGCAAGTCCTTGAAACTGTTGGCATCAGCTGTCTTCCTCTGCTGGAGCATTCTTATTTTCTGCCTCTTGCGCTCCAACTCTCGTCTCTCCTCCTCGAAGAAGGACTGGGAGCATCTCCTGGGCTTTCCCATCATCCTTCTGATCTTGCACCACTCGACTCTCGTTAATTTTCGGGACTTCAGCTGGGGGAAGGACTCCTTCAGGCAGATCATGAAGTCGTTGTCACCTTCGAAGAGGGTCTTGTCGAGGTTGCTGTAGAACCACTCGTAGCAGACCCATTTGTGGGCCTTGGGGAGTTTCAGGAGATTGCGAAGGCGCATCCCTATCTTCTGGCCCACTTTACGGTCTGGGGAGCCTGGGGGGAGGGGCTTCTCTGGCTCTTTCTCTACTTTGATGGGGGTTTTTGGGGGTGGAGGCGGTGGCGGAGTCTGGGGGATTACTTTCTTGGGCTCGGTGGAGGAACGAGTTTGACGCTTTGGGGGGGAGGGACGTGGGATCTTGCGGGGGGAGGGCTTCAAGTCTACCGTCCCTGGCTCCTTCTTTACTCTGGAAATTCAGGGAAGAGTTGCTTTCATTTATAAAAAAGGGAGGATAACAAATTTTGGGGAGGTTTGTTGGAATTTCATTAGCAAATTCTGTTTGTTTTTACGCCAAATCTATAACAGATCGTGTCATTTTGATATTTGAAATTCCTTATTTTGTAAAATAATCTCAGATTTTGCCTGCAGTTGAAGGAGCTACGTCGGTGGATATTAAAAGTCTTCACTGGGCCTTGGGACCCATTGAGCAATTTGTGATATATGACCCATGGAACCACGAAAAATTTCATTTTTTCCTATTTTTACCTTCAAAATGCTCCTTGTGTCGTAGTTTTCATACGATTTTAGCTTTTTTTTAAATGTTCGTTACACTCCAAAGAATAAAGTTCAGTATCCGTTTTACTCTATTCGCCATAGATCATGAATAAAAGAAGTTGGAATTGTATAAATTTTACTCTACTCTAGAGACGCGAAACATTCATGAAATTCAAAATTCATTTTAAAAAACCAAATCTTTTGATATTTTTCGCTGAACGCATCGTCTCCAAAATTTATTTTGGAACAATTTTTTTCATAATTTTGTTTTGTATATGAAACTGATTGGCTGGAATTTAAAATGAATTTAACTTACCTGTGATGTGGATGATTAACCAGGATATCATCAAAGAACAATTTGTTCTTCTTCCTGATTCTCGCCGGCATGCCACGACGATTCAAAACCTGAACTGGTTGTGGAGGATTCTGCTTCCTCGGAGGTGGCTTAGTCCCGACCCTCTGCAACCCCAGAGCAGCAGGCCCCAGCTCTGGCACAGGCTCTGAATCCTCAGTCTCCATCTCAAACGAATTATTGTGATCAATGTCCATCGAATCCTCGTCAATCTCAGTTTTTATCTCGTCCACCGATGGATAACCACCATTTTTCATGGACAGCAGGGTCTCAGCTGACTCGTCTGCACAGAAAAAATCCCAAAATCCTGATTAACACCTCCACTCTCCCTAAACCTCAATTAACAAAAAACAACCCTTCCCCTCCTCCAAATCCCAAAGACGAATAATCAATATTAAATAACTCCACACATAAAATCCAACAAAATAAAATTTCATAAGTATGAGAATTCAAAAATTTGAAAAAAAAATCGTTTGACCCTCCGTCCCTCAAAATTTTTCAAACGTACAAATTAATATTCGAATTGAACTCGAAACAAACCCCCAAAAACAGTCCAAGAGTCATAAAATTCATGAGTAAATAGTAAAAAAACAAGTGCGAAATCATAAAAACACACATTTCATATTCGCCATTAACTCAACACATCCACAAACCCGAATTTTCTGAAAATCGCGACCTAACCAAGCTGCTATTTCGGTGTCCCAGCCCGAAGTAAACATCCCACGCGCGCGTCCGACTCGAAACTTCCCCCAAAATCATGAAAACCCCATAATGACTCCCAGTCCTCCCTGCAACCCCCCAAAACCCAAATAAATCAATTACAGAGTCAACAAATTAACGACGAAAATTGCTGTTTTTATCAAAATTTTCGTGCCAGTTGTCCTGCTTGAATTGTGCATTGGTGATTTTTGAAATTTTGAACCAGCCAAGTACGTGACCAATTGAATCGCCGATATCGCGTGCTAATGATCGCGTGGGGCCCATGTTTTTTGGCTGTTCGATGATCAACAGCCTCGACTACGAGTGCAACCACTTGTATTCGTACATTTTAGCGGTTTAATTAACTTAAAACTATGGATAATTATGTGAATAATTGCACTCACTTTCAATCGTGTCCGCCATGTTGCCCATTACTGGTGCATTGTGGGTAAAGTTGTTTCCGCCGAAGCGCCTCCACTGGAGGGCTTGTGTCAGGTTCGCCAAACTTCAGGCAGAAATTCAACATCCCGAAGAAAAATCCCTAGACCCTGGATCCTAAATCCCTGGTTGGTCCCCAGGAGTGGCGCTAGTGTGCTTTTGCGGTTTATTCAAATTGAAACATATTTTTACGAAAAATTGAAACCGATTTCGTCTTCCAACTCTTCAATATCAAAAGAATTTCCGACTTACATTGATCAAGGTTTTAATATTCTAATCGAAATTTGAAAATAGTAAAATAATTTGTAATCTGAATTTCCAATTGATGATGAATTAAATATTTAAAAATATGGGACTTTAAATTTTCGATTAAGGAGATGATCCTACATTTATTATAAGGGATTTCCGGTTATCCAAATAGTCGTCAATCTTTATAACTCAATTATTGATTAATGAATAATCCAAAATTTGACTGTTAAACTTGATTATTACTTGAATAATTAAAACTTAAACGTGATATTAAGTAATTGACAATTTAATAATTTAACAGTAATTATAATTTAGGAATATGGCTATCGGTGCAGTAACAGGAATCACGTTTCAAAGCAGTTAGAACTGTTCTCTTCTCTTAATGAGAGTGTTCACAAAATGGATTTTTTCGAAATTATGTTGAAGATAAAAATCTAGAAATTTTTTAAAGGATTCAATATGAGGGGTCATTTTAGGAAACGGTCCTTATGTGCAGCGCCATCTATCGGAAGTCTAGAAAATTCTAGACATTTCGAGGAAATTCAGGGAATTTCTAGAAAATTCGACAAAGAAGGAAAGACCATGGACGTATCCACGTACAATTACAGCTATATCGAAGATACAGCCGCCTGAAATTTTGTTTTAATCGAAACGATGATTAGCTTTTTCCTTCATAATTCATGTATTTATGTAGGACCGTAATATGGCCAAATAATTGATCAGTAATGAATGAAAACGGTTGAATTGAAATTAAGCTATAGGAAAGTTTAATCGTAATTTCACTTAAAATTTTCAAATCATTTCCAACAATTTTCTTTACATTTTTCCTTGATATGATTTTTCTTCATGCTCTTTGCATCGTCAGGGACATAAATTCGTAATTAATTGGAATTTAATTGGAATTTGAATTAAAATAATGAGAGGGAATTGGGCAACTTAAACATTTATATTCTACTATAGATTTCAAACAAATTGGTCTCCAAGGGTTGTTTACATTTCCCTTCGATTACATGAATTTTTGTGGTTTTATTGGGATCCTCTGGATTTTTTCCTTGAGTTTATCGTTTGACGTTCAGACAGAGTTGAGCAAATACTGCCGAGATAAAGAGAGATTGATAACTTCTGATGAGCTTGATGAATATCTTCTTATAGACGCCGAAGTGGCTTCAACTCTCGGACTTGAATGTCATTTTTGGTGAGATTTACTTTCTAAAAGGGAATGCGTTAAATTCAATAGTTTCGTTAATTATGGAATTATCTCAGAAACGATTGGTTTTAGGAGAAAATATCTTAAAACCTTTCTTGCAGGAAATTTCTCCAGCAACAAAAATGATTTTATGACATTTCATCGTAGAATGACTCATTCGCCAGATAATTACGTAATTAAGACATGAGAAGCGAATTAAATCCTGAAAATTTGATTTTCAATTTTTTATTTTGCAGTAATGAAGCCAGTGATGGCCAACCCAGGGTCTGGTACTTCCAGGATCGCCTCCAAAAAGAAGAGGAGAAGGAAGTCGACCTGGGAATGGCCAACAACATGTCCTCCAACAAGATCCACTTGACTCCGGAATTGAATCTAATAATCAAGGACTTCAGCCTCAAAGACGCTGGGATTTACAGGTGCCATGGGGCACTGGGTCAGGACGTGGAGAATAAATTCAATTATAGAATAGAGCGTGAGCTGGAACCGTCAACACTCCTGTATCAAGTAGTTCAGTACTAAGAGTATGACGACAATGATGGAAATACTTTTCAGCTATTTCTAAAGATGTGCTTCATATTGCGACAGCCAGAGGGAATATCTCCGATTGGGAGAAGTACAGGGAGATTAATCTGAGGCCTGTGACACTTCGTCTAGCTGTAATTTATAAATTCATTGACATTTTCAGGGAGGAAACAAATTCATAGAATTTTATTCCTTTGAATTTCACAATATTTGCAAATTTCATGCCAATTATTCCGCAAACAAAAAAAATTGATAAAAAAATAATAAATGATTTAGAAAATATCTCTGGAACTAGTGCATTTAAAGAAGAAGAAGTTAGGGGAAATTTTTTGTTCATAAAAGTTTATCTAGAAATTTCTCCTCATAAATTTTGTTTTTAGCCCCTAGACTGCAGATATTTAGAAGTAATCTGTTTCTCATTGTTTGGTGTTTAGGTCTCGAAAATGAAACCATTGGCGCTGATTCGTGCTGCTGGTGTTTCCCTCGAAATAGTCTCCGAATGGAGCGTTTGGAGTTCTTGTCAGAAGTGCAAAGGAAAGAAAGGGATCAAAACGAGTAGAGGACAGTGTAGAATCAAGAGGTCTATAGAAAATCGAGTAAATAACTCTTCCACATCCATGAATTTTTTCATCCAGAAGAATTTTTTGAAAATTCTCAAATTTCCATCTTCAAATTTCATCCAGAAGAATTTTTTGAAAATTATCTCTGAATTTTTCCTTGAATTCTATTTTTTTTTAAATGAATAATTATTACTTGAAATTAAAATTCCAATATTTTCAATATTTTCAGTGGAAACCGCACAGGAATGTTAAATTTCGTTTCTTTAAAATTACAATTTTTACAGTTTTTACTGTAATACTATCTTGTAAAAATTCATGGAAAGCTAATACACAAATCAAAATAGAGAATTCAAAATTTGGTAACATTTTAATAATCCACACAGTGTTTAGAGACTCATAAAAACATAGTTATTCACCTAATCATTATTCTTCAAGTTCAATGTTATGAAACAACTAAACAATTCGTTATAACAAGGGTGAAGGGGTTTAAAAAGCCCAACAAACAGGTGACCTAATATTTGAATGGCCCTTAATGTCCATTTTTTTACAATTTCAAAGACAATGTTGACCGAAGATGCAGATCGCATAATAAAATTCTTCTCCAAATCTCCCCTCCTCCCCTGCAAATCCCTGATCCTGGACGCTGAGTTCCCAGCGATCAGCAGTGCCACCAAGGACCTCCCAGAGTTCATCTTGGAAGAGAAATGCAAGAAGTGCCCGAGAGAGAAGAAAGTGAAGAAGAACAAATTCAAGTACAAGAAGAGGTACACTCTGACTGACGGTGCTCATCTGGCTCTGGTGTGTCCCGAGAGCACTATGGAGTCGCAAATCGTCTGGAGGAAGGACTCGACGGTCCTGAAGAAGGGGACTGGCAGGTCCTTCAGGAAGAAGGATAAAGAGGCCAGGGTGATGGTCGATACCTTCTCAACGCTTTATTTGATTGGTGTCTCGAGCCACGAAGAGGGGAATTACACCTGCTACGTCGATGATGTCAGGATGATGCAGGTCAAAATCAGAGTCGTTTCCAAAAGTCGACTATTGACTCAAGGTAATCTATTCATTTCGCAATCAGATTGGAAGAATTCATAACGATTTTTTTTATTTATCAGAAATATTTTTAATGCTTTTCTCTCAATTTTCTAATTGTTTTTTTATTCATTTCTCAATTTTCTAACGGTTTTTTTCCATTGAATCGAGTTCAATCATTTATGAGAATTCTTTTATTGATGAGAAATATTTTTTATGCATTTTCCTCAATTTTCCTTTTTCTGGAAAAATTTCATGACATTCTGTTCAACTTTATTGGTCTTTTCAAATCAGTTGAATGAAATTTAATTATTTCTCTAATTTTTTTTATTCCACAAATTTTTGAACTGATGTGTTGTTGAATTATTCTCATTATCTAGAATATTTCCTATATTAAATATTCAATCACGCGCGTGACAAACGTGAAAACAGCGACCAATTGCGTCAATTTTTCGTCAATCATTAAAATGCAAAGATAACTAAAATCTAAATTAAACAGAAAAAAATTAATTAAGGTAATTAATTTATTCATATGATGATTATATTAGAAGAATCTGTGACTATTTTTAATTGATTATTAATGTCTTTAATGGATTTATCTAAATTCTCCAATTGTTTTTTAAAATTGTTTCTTAAATTTTTTTCATTGGGAAAATTTTATAATATTTTTCCTGCATTTTAACAATCATTTGAAATTAATTGAATCTAATCCAATTGTTTCTCTCATTCTTTTTATTCCGTAAATTTTTCCACAGATAAATTGCAGAATTATTCTAATTATTCTAGAATATTTTCTTTGTTAAATACTCAATCAGGCGCATGCCACACTTGAAAACAGCGACCAATTGCGATAAATTTAAGGCAATCATCACCGGAATGCAAAGATAATTAAAATCTAAATTAAACAAAAAATTAAACTAATCATTCAGAAATTTCGGTATTTTTTCACGCAATTCGCTTCCAGATATCGCAAAAAAATGTGGAACGCTTCACGATTTTGCGTGTCATCCTTGCGCAGGGGCCATGCTAATCTTCTCTGTATCGTTCCAATTTTAGTATATGTACTGCCGAAGCAAGTACGGAGGGCTAAAATCCTCACGTTTTATATATACAAAACGTGGTAGTGATGAACTACTTGCGAGAAACGGGACGAACAAGTAGGGTGCGATTTCGGGTCAAAGCCATCTACATTTGGAGATGCGAACTACTCGTTAGCAGTGGCTAGACACCACGGCGCGTGCGCCGGGTGTAATCACGAACATAAGATTCTCCCACACAAATTCAACAACTCAATTCAATCATTTTTAAACCGAATTGAGAATGAATATCCAATTTTACATTCCCAGGCTTTTGTCAACGCAAAAAATCAATTCTAGTGAAAGAAAAAAGAATGAATTCCTTAATTTTTAATGATTTTAATATTTTTTTAGCAAGTGATATTCTCTCATGAATGAGTTGTTTTGTTTTTTAAGGACTTTTCTTTGGAATTTTTCTTTAGTCCACTCATTCCTAAGAAAATTCTCGAATAAGTAAACATCGAATTCGTGATTCCGTTCTATTCTATCATCTCGATATTGATTGTCGCATCGTTTTATTAAACGATTATTAAATGATCCGTTTTTTAACAATTTATTTATTAAGTGACACAGATATTTATCACTTAGGTACAGGTCGATGTTTACGTTTTCAAGGCTATTTGATGGGTTTATATTGTATTACTCGTGCGTAAAGTTCCACTTTTTCACACGCGCGTGTAACACATCCTATTTTTTGTGGTACCTGCCGAGTTCATATTCATCAGAAAAGTTTTTTTTGGCCATATGACGAACAATATTTTTGTTAATTTCTTTCTATAATCCCGCTATTGATACCCCAGCATTTTTCCGTCACATGGGCTACCTCGGCTTTATCTTCCTCCTCGCATCTTTCTGTTACTGCGCCGGGCTCGTGATAGCCTGCAGAAAGAAGAACAGATTCGTAACAAAGAGAACCATCGACGAAGCGGAAGATTAATCCCAAGAAAAAAAAATGACTTCAATTGATCCTCCGACCGATTACCGCTTCCCAAGCTTCGCATTCGAAGCGCGAGGCGCATAAAGAAGCGGCAAAAAATGATATTCTCTCAGTGTGCAACGACCTTAACACAGAGAGACACAAAGTGAAAGGCCTCCAGAGTAGACCGTTGAATGTCCGGTTTCTGAAGAAGGCTCAGTCCGCACTTCAACATGGCTGTGCGCTGAATGGCTTCTCCAGCGCTTGTCAAAATTATATTCAAGGATTACCACGGGTCGAAATTCCTTTCAATGCCCTCGAAGATGGAGAAGAAGTGGATCTTTTGCGCTTTAGTGGTCCTCAGTTGTTTAGGAATAAGTGTTAATGGTGAGTCATTTTAATTTCTCACTTTCACTTTGAGATTATCTGCAACCTGTTACCATTACCCTCCGTGGCGGAACCGTTGTAACGAGCAATATTGTGTATCGACAATTGAAATCAACGATCAAACGTCTAAAGCCAGAAATGAAAAGAAGACGTAATTTCGTTCGACGGAAATTTTTCAGGTTTTTTCCTCTTCTGTGCTATTTTTTTTTATTCTTCTAGGGGGATTTCCTTGATTGAGTTTAATTACGCGGGGCCGATTAGACTTTATGATTAAAGGGATGGGCGGGTGGGAAACCTGTTGCATCGTTAACATCGTAATTTTCCTTGTGAATAACAACGTGACCTTTCAGGTGCACTACGAAGATGCGTCGATTGCCGATCGAGGGGGGAGTTGGGATCGTGCAAGGATCCTTTCACGATGAATGCCACTATGATTGAGAGTGAACATGGTGTTGACGTTGTACCATGTGCGTCAGGATGGTGCGGAAAAGTTATAGAATCACCTAATTTGAATAATGGTACACTTGGAATTTCTTGACTGCTGACAACTATTTTTACTGTCCCATTGGACTCCGTTCGAAAGTTATTTTTCAAATTAAATTTCTCACAAATGCAAAAACATGTACGAAAAAATTTAATGGAAAAACTAGGCGAATTCGCTAAATCATTCTATGGGATTTCTATTGAACTTTTTATTAGTTTTTGGCCGTTCCATTGAAATGCTCAATTGAAAATATTCTTTGCGACTTATTGTATTGAGATATTTTCTATAGAATTTTCCAAGTTTTTTTTGTTTGAATTTCTTGATGAAAAAAAAAATAGAATGAAAACACTTGGAAAATTTGAGCCGAGGAAATTCTATAGAAAATATTTCGATAGAACAAGTTGTATAGAAAAATTGAATTCTATTGTCTTTTTGTGTAGAATATTTTCTGTCGAACATTTCAATAGAATCGGTCAAAAAGTAATATAAAATTTTTATATTAAATGTTTTTCTGTGTGCACTTGCAAACGTGAAATGATCAGAATAAAATTGAACAACTGATAGATGAATCCTAAAACATCCTGAGAACTAAAGCCAGAACGTATGAAAAAATTCAATGCAAACAATATAAATTAAAAGAAAAATTAAACCTATTTATATTCTTTTTACTTTAAATTTTCAATTCGTTTAGACAATTACTGGAAAAAATTTGGAGAATTAATACCGATGAATTTTTATCCGAAACATCATAAGAGTCCGTTTAAAGAAAAGTCAATTAATTTTGTTCCCTCAAATATTTCGAAATTTTTAGCAAACGCACTAGTCAGTTCTCCCATTACTCCCCACACATGAATAAAAATCGTCCTTATATTTCTTCTCGTCCAGAATACGGTACAGCAACGCAAAGAATGTGCCTTCAGCGTGGACCAGACGACGGTGAAGAGAGGTGTGCCTACACAATAAAGAATTTCAAAAAAGTCTGGATGTGTTTCTGCAACGGTGACATGTGCAACAGCGCCAATTCCGTCAAGATATCCGCGTTATTTGTATTCATAGCGAGCCTTATAGTGATGCGGTGATGGGCAAAAGACTGTATATTTTTATGTAAATAATAGAAGGATATGAATAATGCAAGTACAAATAGCCTCTGTCATTGTATATCCAATAAAACGTGTGAGTGTCTAATCGATGTTTCTTCTCATTAAAAAACCCATAAAAGTGTGATTGAAGACTTTTAGTCAATTGCCCTTTCTGTGGAATTCCGGGGGATTATGATATGGTCATTTGGATCAGTCTCAATGCCCGTGGTTGCTGTAAAAGGGCGAGGTGGGCCTGAGGCTCTTCAGAATGTTCTCGTGGAGGCCGTTCGATCGTCTCTCCTCCTGATTCCTCAGTATCGCTCGCACGTGGGGAATCTCGTGGAAGAATAACTCACCGTGACCGTACAGATATCTGACAGCTATCATTGCTGCTTCTCCGGTCAGCAAAAGTGGATCAGGGTGATCTGCAAGATTTATTGAATGGGTTTTCAGGCATTGAGAATAATAAAAAATCCGACGAAATATTTGTGACATTTTAGAAGCAACGAAATCCTCTATTTTAATTCAATAAATTTTATTAGAATGAATAAATGGGTTTAGACGCACGAAACAAATTTATAGAAAAGCCTAGAGAATTCGACACGAAATTGGATTGAACTACTATTAAAGAAATTTCAATAAAAAATATTTTGTGTTATTTATATGTCAACAGAATTCGAGCGGTTAAACGGTTGAAGTCAGTTTTCAAGGAATATCTCGGAATCTAGGGGAGACGGCAAAATTTTTCTCATGACCTTTTTTATAGCCCTCAATTCGCTCGGCAAAAAAGGTTATTACGAGAATTTCGTTATCTCCCTTAGATTCGGAGATATTTCTCGAAAACTCAGCGAAGAGATGAGGCGGTTTGAACGGTTTTCTATTTTTATTTAAAACAAACAAAAAAGTTAGAAAATTTGGTCCGAAAAATTTCGATAGAGAATACCTCAATAAAGCGATATTATAGAATATTTTGCAATAAACATTTCTACTGAAAAATAAACACGCCGATAAGAGGTGTATTTTCTTAATAAAACAGACCTCGGCATAATCATAAATTTTAAATGAAGTTGAATTTTGAATAAGCCAATTGTTAATATTACTCATCAATTTTTAATTATTAAATTAATTATCAATTAAATATTCAAATTCCAAATTATTTCATCAATCAATGATTGAGTTCGGAAGATTGATTACTTGGCTAATCGAAAATCCGTTTATTAAATTCAGAAATATTTACTTAATTGACAATTTCATATTATCAGTTATTTAATTCATAGTCAATTGAAAAAAAAGTTAATTATCGCAATTATCTTGCCATGATAACTGCGATTGCATGGATTATTGATCCATGCAATAGAATCGGCCGAAAACTAATAGAAATTTCGCACTTAAAAAAAAATATAATTAAAATGAAATTGAAAGAATAAAAATACACTAAAAGGAATAGAAAATAAAGGAATAATAATTACTAGCCTTTGCTGCGTAATTTTTAGCACACAAACAGTAAAATTTAGCTTCAAAAGGAGCGCTTCATAAAAAAAAGAAAATATATATTTTCCAGGACTTTTTACTCTTTACTTAATTTTTCTCATAATTTTACCTAGACCGTTTGAAAAGTCTGGTGTGTGATGAGCGTCATCAGAGCTGAAACCGAGGTCGTTGGTGTCCAAGGGGGGTACGAATACACCTACGGGCCAAAGGGATTGAGCGTCTTGGGGGGTGATCACTCGGAAATTCCTGAATGATCCTGGCAATCTCTGACCTAGGATAAAAACGTAATAAAAAAAATCCATCGACGAAGATTAGATTAGAGTCCATAATCTTTTCTATTCATACCAAATGAAGGGTGCTGTCTTCCGATACTAAGGAAATTCTTCTGAGCAACTGTACTACCTCCTAAAACCGCGGACATAAATAAAAATATCCTTTAAATTCAGAGAAGAAAGTTACAAAGCGCCGAAGATGAGTTATACATTCACTAAAGACTATTTTGCAAATATCTTTGAAACCATTAGGTTTACAGAAAAATGTATAAAAATCATTTTCGTAGCCCGCAAAATTCTCTACAAAAAATGTTTTCTGATATTTTTCGCTCAACCTGATAGTTTCTTAGATATTCTCAAAATAAACCGTCGCCCTCATCGAATCGTACGAATTGACAACTGAATTATCTGAATTCACGCAATTACTCACCATCAGTCGTGAGCTCGTGCTCGTGATAATGCGGCGGCGATACAAACCTGACGTGAACACTGGCGAGCGGAGCTGCACACGTGGTTGCAGCTCCAGTGGCCAGTAAGCCCAGAATTTTCAACTGGAAGGGAAAAAAATTGATAAATTGCCAAGTGCAATTGCGATTGACTCCTCAGTGCAGATGCCTGGGAATTATTCCTCTCTAAATCTGGTCTATTGGTATTCATCAAATTGCTCCCCTGAGCGAATAAATCCCGTACTGGGTTGAGTGTTATTAATCGAGATTGCCAAAGCGATGAGTTGCGTCGAGGGTATTTCGCGAAAATTGCGTGGGAATGCATTTTCCATTTTCTTCGATCAAACGTTTGAAGAAACTAAAAAAAATTGGATTATCGGCGAAATTTGGAATGGCAAATTGTGATTATATCCAAATGTGATTCGACAAAAAATACAACGAAACACGCAGGAATACAATTTACTAGGGGAATCCCGTTGAAATCTATTGGAATTTCATTGAATTCTTCACAGATTTCTATTAAAAATTATGCAACTTATATTATAATTATGTAACTGAATTATCACATTATAGTTTTTGATTAGTCAATAGGTTTTCATTATTCCATATAAATGATTCTCTCAAATTTTTCAAATATTTTATAAATCAGTAATCCACTTCGCTAGCATGATCATTATTACATTAATTAAAAAATCAAATTCAGATATTCAGAATCAACAGGTAAATTATAATGGAGAATTAAAGATTATTTTCCAATTTAATTGCAAAAGTAGTCATTACTTTTGGTTAATCTCGTCCCTTTGATTAATCTCTGGTAAACTTCTTTATTTAGCATAAACCGACACAATGACAAATTTGAAAGATCTAGGAATAATTTGAAAAAATCAACAGCAATCTAGATCTTATACTTGACAAAGAGCCGTAAAAATTTTCATTCAAGCGCAAAGTCGGCATTTCGTTCTAAAAATTTGCCTTACATACGGTATATGGCCCGCAGTATCGGAACAAAATTTTCGAAATCGTACCACTCATGATATATTTGTGAGAAAAATTTTGATTGATAGGGCTTCTACACATTTCAACACGAGATGTCAAATTTTTTCAAATTTTTCCGAGGCATAACTGCAGTGTCATTAAAAAAAAGGGAAAAAGTGCGACGCGGCGCTGTTAAAATTCCTTAATAACAATGTTCGCCGATTCCTGTCTTCACTCTCCCCCCAAAAAATCGGAGATGAGAATCGCCAGCAAATTTTCATTGTTAGCAATTCGCAATCGCGTCTCTAAAATCGTGTATGCCAGTGACAGTGAAAGTGAGTCGATAAGAATCACTGCGCCGAACGAATCCCCGGTCTTTCGAAATTCTCCCCAATAGACTCATAACGATTTAAACTTGATTCCCCACCAGCATCATATCACGGGACTCGATCATCCCCAGGATGGACGAACAAGTGCAACTGCGCCTGGAGCCCCCGCATCCACGTGACTCAGTGCTTTAGTTTTGGCCTTATAACTGGCGTTTGATCACGGTAGTGGGTAAAAGAGACGGGTTTTAAATTTATTGAAGCCAGAAGTTGGGCAACGCCAAGACAAGTCACGGGACTTTATATCTCGGAGCGCGTGCGATCGCATCCTGAATCCTCCGCACAAAGCACAATCTCGGCGCAATTGCATATCACGTGGCCCCAAGTCTACAGGGCCTCACCATTAAACCTCGTATATCCATCACTCAAGTATGTAAAATATACCTGCGGTAGCACCTACGTGACCAGTGCCTGAAACTTTCATCTTCTCTAACGAGATCAAGCCATTAATGATTTTTATTTGTACCTCTGGGGCGATTTCTTCGCTCTCTCTCTCTCTCTCTCACTCTCTCTCTCTGGCTCGTTCGGGGGATCATTTTTCATACGGGTTTCTAATTAATCCGTGAAGTTACGGTTTCACTAGATGGATTGGGGCTTGTTGTTTCTTCTCAGGTGGAGGATTGCATAATTAGTTCTAGATTGAAGTGGGAATCGAGGCGATAAATGTGTCAGAAATGCAGTTGCCGTTGGAATTAATTTAGGGAATATCTCGGAAGGGAAGGGCTTCGGGAGAATTTATGATAAGAGATTTTTTATGGGAAATTTTGTGGGCTACAAAAAAGGTCTTTTGATGTTTTTGTGTAGATGCGGTAGTTTTCGAGATTTTCCGGAAATAGTGAGCGTCCAATCGCTCTTTCTTGTGATTTATCTGTGTAGTCATACTTTCGTTGAGAGCTTGGTGTTCTCGCTCAGGTGGAGGCTTGCATAATTAACTCAGGAGTGAAGCGGAAATTCTATTGAATTTCTATTGAACTGTTCTATTAGTTTTTCGCCGATTCTATTGAAATGTTCAATAGAAAATATTCAGTAGAAAAAGTCAATAGAATTCAATTTTTCTATATAACTTATTCTATTGAGATATTTTCTTTAGAATTTTCTCGGCTCAAATTTTCCAAGTTTTTTCGTTTGATTTTCTTGATAAGAAGAAAAGAAAAATAGAATGAAAGAATCTTAAAAAATTTGAGTCGAGCAAATTCTATAGAAAATATTGAATTTTTTCTATTGAACATGTCAATAGAATCAGCCAAAAACTAATAGAAAGTTTATAGAAATTCAGTAGAATTTTCTAACGAATTCGATAGGTTTGTCTATTAAATATTTTCGTGCGTGAACTAATGATAATATCACAGCATCACAATTTAAACGATTGTTCAATTTCTAGTCTCTCGTTGGAAAGAGTGTTTAGGAGAATTTTCGCTGCAAGAAAATGTTTTGGGTAGATAGACTCACTTAATCGCTCTTTTTTTATTAATAACATTCATTAATGTGGACTTCTCATCAATTTGTGTAGTAATACTCCCATTGAGAACTTGTTGTTCTCATTCAGATGGAAGATTTCGTAATGAATTAAAGATTGAAGTAGGTAGGGAGGCGATGAGCCTGTCGGAAATGTAATCTTTGAAAGGAGAGCTTGAGAAGAAATCATTAAAATGTCTGTTCATGGTTTTGCCTAAACCCCAGTTTTCGAGATTTTTCCAAAATAGTCTGTGCAGACTTAAAGGGATGAATACGCTCCTCTCTACTCGCTCAATTGCTTTCTTGAATTCATCAATAAACTTTGCATTATTTATATAAATCCATGACGAAACAATTCACTTGAGCAGAGAATGGCAACATCAATTCAGAGAAAAAGTGAAAATAGAATCAATAAATGCGTCACGGGCCATCTGAAGAATATCCTAACATCTATAAAACTTTTTGATCAGAATTTTACGAACTACAAAAAAATTCCTCATATTTTTATCTAAGCCTCGTATTTCCCGAGTTATTATCAAATTTTGGAGGAATAAATACACTTCAAAATAATATCAAGATTTATTATTATCTAAAACTAATGCAGAAAAAGTCCCAAAATTTTAATAAAAATGTAAACACTATAAAATATCACAACCGATAACGTGAATGAATTTGATTAACAATTTGTTAATTTAAATAGTGCTCTACACGTTTTACAATGCAAACCAGCGATTACCTAATTCACTGCACACGCTTTCAATTAAACGAAGAGGCATCCCATTATCAAACCCTACATGGTAGCACCTCAAAGAGGATAAAAAAAAGAGGACAAAACTTTTTGATCAGAATTTTACGAATTACAAAAAAATTCCTCTCATATTTTTATCTAAACCCCGTATTTCCCGAGTTATTATCAAATTTTGGAGGAATAAATACACTTCAAAATAATATCAAGATTTATTATTATCTAAAACTAATGCAGAAAAAGTCCCGGAAATTTAATAAAAATGTAAACACTATAAAATATGACAACCGATAACGTGAATGAATTTGATTAAAAATTTGTTAATTTAAATAGTGCTCTACACGTTTTACAATGCAAACCAGCGATTACCTAATTCACTTCACACGCTTTTAATTAAACGAAGAGGCATCCCATTATCAAACCCTACATGGTAGCACCTCAAAGAGGGTAAAAAAAGTTATATGTAAAAGGTGAAAATAGTTGGATTACGAAACGAGACAAAAGGCTCAAAAATGCAGGTATCCATAAAAGCAGCCACGTGAGCTGTATCCTAAGCGTCTACTGTTGTTACTGCCGACAGTTAATGGTATAAAAGGAACGCCGAGGAACAAGAGGCGGAGGCGAACGTCTCACTTGTGCAGAAATCATTATGCAAGCGCGGTGAATTTTTGCGAAAGTACGAAAAAAAAATAAAGAGGAGAAGAAAGACAAGTAATGCCTGTAATGCATCGTTCGAATGACATACGAGTGATGGTAATGCGTAGGTACATGACGATCACATGATTCCAGTCTATGAGAGGAAAGAGAAAAGTGGAGTCTCGTGATTTTTCAAATATGGCATTGTCTTTTCAATTCTGGAGGAGCGATTCTACGAAGAAACATTGCGTCACCAAATTCATATTTACATTTCATTCAACTAATTGAGTAATTATCTGAATATATAATCAATGCAACAAATTTATTGATTACGAAGTCCATTATTTTTGTTTGTTAGTCATTTTTGTGTGCAAATGAACTTTTTTAATGATTTAATTTCATCCGCAATTTAATTAATTGATTGATTGCCTGATTTAATTAAATTTATTGGGCCTTCGATTGCACTTTAATTGACTCACCATAAGCATCCTATCCACCGATTACCGGAGCCCGATAAGATCACTCACTCGTCGACAAAAATCCGCGGTTTTAATCTTAGTATTAATTACAACTTTTGATTGATTGAGAGATCAATTGCCGATGGGTGATGGGGTTTTAATTATACAAGCGTAATGACTCGAGGTGCAGGCAGAGTACTGTGGAGGTGTCACGGGCACACGCGGTCAGGAACTGATCCAGTTCAGACGTGCCTAGAGAATGTCGTGATCCATGGGTACTCCATCCCCCTTCTTACGTACCCCACTTTGGTGAAGATCATGATGAAACTGGGGGAATAGAATACATGGCTGTGGTGATGAGTGCTAATTGCACCCTGATAGTATCAATGGTAAATGTGGTAACTGCTGGTAGCTCTAGTGGTTGAAGCAGGGGGATGGTAATCTGAAGGTTGCGGGTTCAAATCCCGAGCTGATAGCAAAGTTGAACAATTCATTGGCTGTTAACGAGGCTTCCGCCGAGGTCTCTAGCAATAAAATTAAAAAAAATGAGGCTTCTACCAGTGCACTTGGATATTGGCACTTGTTTTCGTCTAATTCAAATCTCGTAATTAAATATTCTATTCTGATAACTCTCGATGCTTTGCTTCAAACCGCATTGCAGAATAAAGTTTGAAATGAATTATACTTTTTCTCAGCCCTAATGAGTACTATTAGCTGTGGTAATTATTTTTGAAAGGTGTTTCATCGGAAACAGCTATTGCTTTTGAAAAAAATGGACTTGGCTTTAATCAACGGATCAACTTTAATCAACGTCCATCGCTGTCCGTAACTTTTTATCATATTTCCTGGTAACAGATGGAATTTGTGATAAAAAATCGAATATCTTTGGGAAAAATCCAATCTAAGAGCCCTTGAAAATCAATTAACACAGCTAATAATTTGAATTTGATCGAATCAATGGTAAATGTAGTAACTTCCGATAGCTCTAGTGATTGCAGCAGACGGCTAGTCATCAGAAGGTTGTGGGTTCAAACCCCACTTGGATATTGGCACTCCTATCCTATTGATTTTCTTCTAACTCACGTCGCATCAGACCATCATTTCGCATCAAATCTCATGTCAGCATAAAGTTAAAAATAAATTTGTTAATTCAACAGTATATGATATCCTTCCTGCTGCTCCACACGTCCATCTCCATAAATCGCCGATACTTTTTCTCAGCACTAATGAGTACTATTAGCTGCGGTAATAATTTTCAAAGGTTTTGTTTTGTTTTTTTAGTGAAAACAGCTATTGCTCTTGAATAAAAAAATGGATTTGACTTCAATTAACGTATCCTCATCACTGTCCACAACTTTTTATCATATTTCCTGGCAACAGATGGAATTTGTGGTGAAAAAATCGAATGACCTTTGGAAAAATCCAATCTAAAACCCTTAAAATTCAATTAACACAGCTAATAATTTCACTTCGATCAAATCAAGGGTAAATGTAGTAACTCTCGATAGCTCCTGTGATTGGAGCAGACAGCTAGTCATCTGAAAGTTGTGGGTTCAAATAACGCTTCGCTATTCACTCGCCCAATTTTAGCGCGGCCAATTGTTGAATGCAAAATGGAATTGAGAAATAGAATTTTCAATTTACCAGAGTGCAACAATTTTCTATACTCCGCAAATGCTTTGCAATACATCTGCATTTTTCTCTCCTTCATGCGCTAGTGGACTTCCGCCACATGAATAGCGACTGACACACTTCATATTCCATTGTTCCTCTTCATTTTTTCCCAGTAAAAGATTATATTATTATTTAATCAATTCTAATTCTAATAAATAATTTATATTCTAATGTAATTTCGGAAGTGATACTTTCAAAGAAATATAAATGCCGGACCGTTTTAAGTCGGAAAAAATCATCAATTGAATATTCATCCCGGTCTCCGAGGTTCCCCGAATATTCCCGAGCCCTCGCGCATGCGTATCACTTCTTCGCGTTCGTATTCACTGTTGGATGCACGCAGGCCGACGAGTGAGTTTATGGGTAATATTTCCCAAGATTCTTTGGTCGATTCGTACGAAAATAAAAAACAATCAGTCCCAGAGTATGAATTTTTGAATTACCTAGAGTACGCGACATTCAATCTCATAGAGATAGTGACACCGGTGATTGTGAGTGATTTTTCGTCATTGTTGATGATGGTTAACAATAAAAATGGCGTTACTCGGGTGTTATTTCAATTTTTGACAGTTGCGAACTTTCCTGGGAAATTTAAAATCACAGAAATTACTGGAAAATCGCGCAGAAAGTCATCGACTCGTGTTTTTGTTGTTCTATATGATACGTTGCAGAATTGAATTGTGATTTTTAGTAAAAAATGTTTGGGATAACCTCCAAATCCTGAAATATGTCAATATTTACATATTTCAAATTGAGAGATTAATGATTTCAGTTTCCTGGAGGCGGTGAATATGTCGTTAGAAGATGCAGAAACTCAGGAAAATTCTCTGGAAAATGAAGACAATTTTACACTTCTCGAAGAGTTGACTGCAAGTATTTTATTTGAATTCCTCTAATAGTTGAATAATAGAACACATCATTATGCATTTATCTGAAAAATGAATAGTTTTAATAGAAATTTTCAGAAAATCTTTTTTAAAGCCCACAAAAATTTGGGAAAAAATAGTATTCTCACATTTCTACTTAAACTCCACCATCAAGTAAATTATTCTATAATGATTTAACAATTTATTATCCAAAAACCGTCATTAATAGCTCGAAAAATTTGCCTTGCAATGATTCCTCGATAACATTCATCTTAAGAACGAATAATTTGAGAAGGAGAAATCAAGAATCCCCTGAAAATGTGCCCTCAATCATTTCGTAGATTAAACCTCAGTTTTAAAATGTCTCCAATTAATTAAAATGTCATCCAATTAATGAGTCATGAAATTGAAATAACTCGATGATCCCAGGATGATCACGAAGCGCTCCCAGTTGTAATCAACGAGGAAGACGGAACCGCTCTCCAAGGAGTAATCCTCCAGGACCACGAGTTACTAGGAGCCACAATAACTGCAGTCACATTCCCTGATGGCACTCAAGCATTCGTGACAGATCATGGTGCCAGCCCAGGTAAAAAGCCCCCCAAAAAATATTTCCTTGATAATATATTTTCACCACATAAATTAATTGAATGAATTAATTAAATAATCTCCCAATATGAATTAATTAAATGAATTAATTTCACAATATGAATTAATACACTTTTCTCTACTAGTGAAGAGAAAGAAAAATATTTTTTCATTTTTTTTAATCAAACACGATTGGCGCCCTTAAACTCTGCTCGACAAATTCCTTTAAAATCCTCAGACCTAGATTACAAAGAAGACGAGGACGTCCCCCGTTCCATAGTAATTCGGGACGTAGCAGGTCTCGAGGGGAGGGTAGTTCACCTGGAGGTCGACCCAGTGGTCCTGCACTCGGAGCCCAGCACTTCAAACTCCTCAGACACAACCTACGCTCAAATCCAGATAATAAACGGCAGTGCCTACATGGTGACGAGTAGACTGGACTCAGACACTCCGAAAACAAAGAAGAAGGACGCAAAGGGCTTCTCGCCAGATCTAGAACAGAAAATCAGGTACGCGTGTCCTCGGGAGGGCTGCGGCAAAATCTACACGACTCCTCATCATTTGAAAGTTCACGAGAGGTCGCACACAGGACTGAGACCGTATGAATGCGGATTTCCCAGGTATATTGAACCTTATTCCCTTCATTCACTTCATTCAAACAATATTTTGTAATTTTTTTTGTTGCTAAAAAGCAGAAAGTAGCTTTTAAGTCATTGAAAATCTGTAAAAGATGCAATTTCAAGGATCAGAATTAGATGAATATTTCTGTCTTGAATGTAAAGTGACAGAAATTATCGCATAAAAAGGTCAAAACTTACGTAATTGCAAATTTCAGGTAGAATTCAAGGAGATTCAAATAGTTTTAAGTGAAAATAATTGAATTGAATTTACAGCATCACAATGACTTAAATTTTCAATTCATGTAAAATACAAGACTACATTCACCTGAGTTTGTTTAATTTTTCCTAGTTTTCCCTAAATAATTCATCTGAAATTCCCAATCTTCATAAAATTCCTCATTAAATTATGAAAAAACCAATAGAATCGATCATTTTTCAATTCCATATGAAATTTCAGTGGAAATATCCTTCGCCGAAAATTCCTGCATTCAATTTTCTAGATGCAGCAAGAGTTTTTCAACTGGATACAGCTTAAAAGCCCACCAGAGGACCCACACAGGGGAGAAACCCTACAAATGCACAGCCACAGCCTGCGAGAAGAGTTTCAAAACCTCAGGGGACCTCCTAAAACACATGAGAACTCACACAGGGGAGAGGCCCTTTCCCTGTCCATTCGAGGGCTGCGACAGGGCCTTCACCACCAGCAACATCAGGAAAGTTCACATCAGGACGCACACAGGAGAGCGTCCCTATACCTGCGAAGTCTGTGAGAAGTCCTTCGCAAGTGCAACGAATTACAAAAACCACATGAGGATCCACTCGCGGGAGAAGCCCTACACCTGTATGGTGGAGAACTGTGGAAAGTCTTTCACCGAGTATTCTAGTCTCTATAAACATCGGCTGGTGCATACACCGGCTAAACCGTTCGAGTGTCAGCTGTGCCACAAGAGTTACAGGCAGCATGGGACACTTGTCATACATAAGAGGACGACTCATGCTTTGGTCGACAGTGATGAAGGGGGCGATGTATATTTTGATGGCGTCGAGGTGGGGCAGGGCAAGGTGAAGAGAAAAAAGAGTAGACAAAATGTAAGTCTCAATTTTAAAAGCAGAACATCGTCATAAACAGAACAAATTTTTTAATTATCAATTCATCCATTCGAAAAAATTATTGTAGTATCGATATTATCGCTTTTCATGTTGATATCCTGCTGATATTTCTCGTGAAATTTGAAGGAAAAGAATTGAAATTTAATTTTCCATGGAGAAATTTCTTTGGACATCTTCGTAAAGAAATTTGAAATGTTTTTTAAAGATTAATATATTAGTGAAGAAGAAGATGAGAAAAGATGGGAAAAAGTCTGCTGAATTCTTTCAAGTGTGAAGATATTTACAAAATGAATTGATAATTTTTCTTTCGACATTTTTTATTCCTTTTTTTGTTTTTGCAGAGAATTATGATGAGTAAAGCAGCACAAATAGAAACATCAGAAGCCACAGAGGAATCATCTGACAATGAAACACAAATTTTACTAGTTGGAGATCCGAAACAACTTATTGCACTTCAGGTACAATCCAATTTCAATTAAAAAACCAATAAATCTATAGTAATTATTTTATAACTTTGTTCTACTTATTTCAGCAAATGGGCATGGAAGAGACATTCGACGATCCCACGATGGACACAACGCTGGAAGGACTGAACATAAAAATTGAGGGAATGGAATTCGGCTGGAATTGATTATGCCTAGAAGACAAATAATTTTGTTATAAGTAGATAGCACAATGGAAATACCGAGATAAGATATTTTATCGTATGACATAATAAACTAAAAATGATTTTAGATACCAAGTCATGTCTTTACAGTTCGTTACACAGATAATTCCTCGTTATTCTTTCCTCTTCTACCCAGAAATGTGTGAACAGATGTTTGCGATAGTGCCGCAATAATTAAATACCTGAAATACATTTTTCGTACTAATCTGAACTAACACTCGTTTCTGGGAACCAGATGATCCCTGAAATAATCCTCAAGCAATTCCTCAATTATTTGCTGAAGAAACTAGCGGACGATTCATCATCGCTATTCTGAGACGATTGTGGTTTTGAGGGCGACGATTTCATTACTCTCAAAACCACAAAAATCGAAGTAAGGTGAAAGATAACTTTACGATGCACGACAAATTGAAAAATGGAAATACCACGCGATAAATCCTTCATTGCTGTGACAACAAAAGACATTGAGACAATGTCTTCAATAGAATTTAGAAAGAACGTCATTTGGAAGAAATATTACGATAATCTTTTACTTTAAAATTAGATTTTTTTCGAAATTGGGAGTAAATTACTTCAGCTAACGATCAAGAAACAATTTATGTCAAAAGGAAATCTGCGAAAAATGTTTTTTACTATTCTGATGACAAATTATTTGTCATTAATACCATTCGACATTCAATCAGGCCTGAAAAATAGATTTTTTACGTTCGAAAATTTCTGAATATAAAGGAAATATCAAAATTTTTATGTGAGAATTTCGCTGAGATTCAAATATATTCAGGACTTTAAAGATCGAATCTGCAACTACTATCTGTGATTCTCGAGTCAAATTTAAAATCAGTACGAATTTCATCGAATTGCAAACACCCCGCAATTTCCATGTAAATGAATTTCAAAAATTCCGACAAATTGAAAGATTGAAATACCACGCGATAAATCCTTCATTGTGATGACAACAAAAGACACCGAGATAAAGCCTTCAACCACTAAAAAATCCAATAGCATTTCAAGTGCAGCCTCGAAACCTTTCAATCGATAATTGCTGGACCGATACTTCCGTTTTGCAATTTGTCCTCCCACCATTATCCGGAAGACCTTCTGGCCCATCCTCGTCATTCGCCACCTCCACCATTTAAAAATCAGTCTATGACCGAGCAGGTGTCAAACTAGATCGATTTTCCACTCGTTTAAAAAAACTTCCAACCACTCGAGGAAATTCCAGTCACTCCACAAGACTAAAAAACCGTTAGATATTATTTATCGTCATAAGCCGTGATTGAAAATCTACGTCGAGATAAACTACCAGAAAGTGACGCTCACAGACACCAGAAATCGTAGGAATAAATAATAAAATCGAAGATAAACTATCGACCACTTAAACTATTACGTTGTAATCGAGGATAACAATATTTGTGCTTGAAAAATCTGTTTTTTTACGAGTGGACACTCAAAGGGGGTCAGTTCCTCCACAAAAAGTGAGATAATTCCAATCAAATATAATTTATCGAAAAAAAAATCAACATCAAGCAGCAAATGAAAAAGTTAGAAAAAACAAACTAAAATTCTTTCAATAAATAATTAAATACGTAAAGTAATGCATAAAATCCTCCACTAAAAGCGAGATAATTTGAATTGAATATAATTTATCAAAAAAAAAACTTCCACTTCAAAACTGATTAAAATTCTTTCAATAAATGATTAAATTATTCAGGAAATTCTTAAATACGTAAAGTAATGCACAAATGAAACGGGTAATTCCGGAAAAACAAGAAGTACTCGCTACTTTACGGGAATGTCGTTCGCTAAATTACGGAATTATAAAAAATAAGCCAAGAAATAAAAAGAACTGAAAAATTCGTCGATTAAAAATTTATTTGCGTTTAAAATGAACTCCAACAGTCCACGGGGCTCGCGTTAATCCGGATTCGCACTATCTCGGGGACCACTGGCAGTGTATGAAGAAGATAAGCTCCGAGACTGAGGACCTGGAGGTACACAGATCGATTACAAACACGATAGAGCAGTGGAATGAAAACTAAATGAAAGAAGACACGAACAAATTCGTTGTTACAACTCGTGGATGTTGCCAGGACAGTTGTCACTCAGTAAACAATTAGCTAAATTAATGTAAATTAATCTAATGGGGCCAACAGAGCAGCTTCAATGCAACATATTCACTCGTTTTAACCGAGCATAAAGGAGCGATTTGTACCGTTTTATCATTGAATAGACACGGATTGTTCAACGGCGCAGACGTTTATCTCGCGTTTGCTGATCAAACTATGAGCAAAGGGTCGACTTAAACACATTGCAGGCCGTGAACAGTATGAAGGATAAATACTGACGTCACTGATTTATTTATTCAAGTGGAGAATTCTGAGTCATTTGAGTGTTTTCATGGGGTTAAAGTTTCTTTTTTCAATTTTCGGGGATCTGCACGCGCTGGTCTTGAGTGGCGGAGCCTCGAGGACATCTTTTAGATGGTATCTCATCGATCCTATCGGCTCGGACAACAAGTGAATGGAAATATTTGGAAAATAAGGGGCTCAGGAGAGTGATCGATGATATAATTAAAAAATTGGTTGACACTGATCAGAAAATCGCGAAAAATCTGTTTTTATTTTGGTAGAGAGGGGGAATTGATGGTGAGAATGAGTGAATTCACAGGTTTGAAGAAATTCCAGAGAAAACTCTAGAGTTTTAGGGGATTGCATTTAATTTTTACTGATATTCTATGGGGGTTTTATAAATTTGATTGAGAATTTATTGAAAATTAGAGGAGTTTTTTTTATGATTTCTATCATTTTTTTGGTTTTCTGCGTCATTTACTCGTTTGCTTCTCGTTGAGAATCGCTAGGCATCAATTTCGCATGCAAATTCTTTTTTATGAAAACTTGAATGGAAAACTTGTTTAATTCATGGTCAGGAATTTCCACAAACAAAACTAATATATTAATAAATGACTAAACTTCACTTGAATTAAAAATTCAAATTTTTCTTATTATGAATCCCTCTGGGCTTTAATTTTGTATGCAAATACTTTTTTCTTGAATGAAAAGTTTATTAAATTCATGCTGAGCGATTTTCATAATAAATATTAATAAAGTAATAAATTCATAAATTTAAATGAAATTGAAAAATCAAAATTATTTCTTGGAAATAACTTTAAATCTACGGGACATATGAAAATTGCTATGAGAATCGTTTTTCCGTCGACGGAAATATTAAGGAAAGACGGAATCCAGAAGAATAATCTACATAACATTCCAATAACAAAATCATTAAATAATCATTTGAAGTTGCTTATAAAGTCATGGACCTTGAAAATCGAACTTGACATTTCCAGGAATTCCGAATTAATTCCGAGAATGAGTTATTGTAGGAACCTATCAAGAAACAATTGTCGAAAGGGGGGAATTTTCTGCGACAAGTGTTTTTTAATATTCTCATCACAAATTCCTCACCATTAAGATCACTCGACATTGAATCCGACCTGAAAAATCGACTTCTTACGTTTGCATTTCTCTGAATCTCAGGGAAGTATCAACATTTACATGAGAACATTGTCATCAGCTGTCAATCCCTCCTCCCCCTTAAAAAAATTTGGTTTGAAAATAAAAATGATTGAACTCATCTCGCTTTAACCCTAGTCTGGTCACTAAACGCGACCCTGCGATTGGTCACTTCCGCGGGGATTCCCCGCCGTGTTATTTAGGCTTTAGCGTTGCCGAATTCACTCTACACTACCCGGGCGCGTTTAATGAGTTTCCGGCAACGTCGCGTCATGGGCAATTAATTTTCCAAACTTTTGAATAAATTTCCGGCTGAAAGTTATCGATAGTTTAAAGAATCAAAGCACATTAATCTCCAGGAGGTGAGAATGAAGATCAATGTGCTTTGGGTTTAAAAAATATTAATAATTTTGAGCAGGAAATTTGTTTAAACATTGCGAGAAAACGATGGCCTTCTGTTACCCCTTAGCATGGGAAAAAATAATTCATCGAAATAATTTGTTTTCTTTAGGAATTTTGGGAAATATGTTGTTCTAAAAACGACTATAATTTTTTAGACACTTCAATTGACAAAGTCATTTTTTTTTATTTTTTCGGTTAGCCAGTCAACTTTAATTTTTAAAAAACGACGCGCGGCGGGTTTCCCTCATAGGGTGACCAATCTAGGGTTAAAGAGACGCTCCGCATGCCTAAAAGCCGAAACCTAATGATTCAAAAATGACAAGATTCTCCATTACGAAATTTGATTCAAGAGATAGAATCAGCACGAGCTGGACTGGTTCATGTGCCAAATTCAAAATCAGTGCAAATTTCGTCGGATTGTTACAAATGGACTGATTACACACGAGTAGACTCGAGGTAAACAGGATCGAGGTGCCAACGCGTCACGACCTCGACCATCTCGAGGTCCAGCTCCACGTGATCGAGATTCCTCCTAGTCAGTTTTTATTTACTCTCCCATATTTCTACATTCCTTTCCTGAATGCTGAGGCGGGTGAACAGGGATATTAATTAACCCTAACGATCCTAACTCAAACACCATGAATTAGCTTGCAAATTGTTGAATCATTTATCGATCGTGTCATGTGATGCAAGTCCGTGTAAATTTAATCGGATGAACTCCCTTGAACTTTCCGTCTGAATGAGCTGTCGACATATTTATTTATACAAGAAGAAAATCATTAATTTTAATTTTTTAGAAATCGTGAAATGATTTTGAGAATAAGTTACTGCGGGGGATTGTTAAGAAACAGTTTGTATAGAATGCAAATTTTCTGCGAGAAAAGTGTCTTAATATTGACAGGTTTATTAATTAATGCTAATGATTCCAACTCAAACAACATAAATTAGCTTGTAAATTGCTAGATCATTTATCGATCATTTCATACAAGTAATAATGCGCATCCGAGCGAATTTCATCGGATTGTAAACGCCCCTGAAATTTCCATCTAAATGAGTTTCAAAAACCACGACAAATTGAAAATTTGAAGTACCACGCGATAAATCCGTCATTGTTAACCATTGTCATTGTTGTCATAACAAAAGACATGGAGAAAGTCTTCAATAATATTTAAACAAGACGTAATTTTAAACGAAATATCAACATTAGATTATTATTTACAGTTTAAAGAAATTATCAATTTGACTTTTTCGTTGTGAATTGATGTCGAATTGATGTCATGAATAAATTATTTTTTGGTAACGATCAAAAAATAGTTTGTGTATTTAAAGAAATTTTCTAGGAAGAATATTTTTTAATATTCTGATTACAAATTACTCACCATCAAAATCAGAAAATAGTATATGTCAATACAAGTGCGTAAAAGTGTTTTTTTGACTTTCCCAAGGGTCAAAGAACACTTTTCCCACGAGTGGTAAACCCTATTTTTCATCACCATGTGTGGAAAGTGGGATTTTACGCACAAGTGATGAAAATGGGGTATTTTGTGTGCGAAGCGTGGAAAAATAGTATTTTTCCGGGCCTTCGTATAAAATAGTATTTTTCCTCGCCTTCGGCTCGGACGCCAACTTCACGCGAGTCAAAAAAACCCATGACACTAGGCGTGAATGATATTTTTCCGTAGTGATGTTCAGTTTTACGAGTTTGGGGAAGGGTCAGTATCAATCCCCGGACGAGGGAAAGTGAAGATTAGTACGGAAAAGTGTTTTTTTTTTCACTTGGATCATAAAGTAAATTTTCGTCACTTGTATGTAAAGTGGAATTTAAAAAATCCCCATTTCCATACATTGTGGTAAAAAATAAGGTTCGACACTCGTGGAAAACGTGTTCTTTTACCCTTGCGAGGGTAGCACTCGCCTTCGACAGGCGTTTCACACATCGCACGCGTTAAAAAACACTTTTACGCACTCGTATCAAAATATACTATTCTCTTGGATTCATACGCTTATTCATCATTGAATAAAATGAAAAAATAGACAATTCATCTCGTTTCACCTCGAAACCGATAAACAGGGATATCAATTAACCCTAACGATCCCAACTCAAACACCATGAATTAGCTTACAAATTGCCTCGATCATTTATCGATCATGTCACATGGTAAATCGATCGATTCCCAGGCAAAAAGCGTCCGAGTGCCCAGGTTGCGCAAACACACGTCACGTTTGTGGACGACTTTTGTCTTCCCATTTTCATTGTCGCCTCAATGACAAGAGGGACAATGGTCGTGTGGCCGCCATCGGGTCATCAATAGAAAAATGCGAGTTAACGTTTCTTATCACGAGGAATTTTTAGAATTGTTGGGGCTCAGGACAAATGTCTGAATGTCATGGCTTCAATGGTGTAATTGAATAATTGTTCTGCCTATTTTTACGAGGAATAAATCAGGTCTTTTCGCGTCACATGCTCGATGCTTCGACGATATTTGTCACCCAGTTTCCAGGTAAATTATTAGTCATTTGGTGGGTTTGAGGTGGAAGGATGGGGATTGGAGAATTTCTCGCAGTGAGAATCACGAGGGTCTCTGATGAAGAGAGGACATTAGGAGACATGAATGGTTTGACAATGAGGAATTTTTAATTTTGAAGGAAATTTTTCTGTTTTTAGATCTGCGGTGAATTAGATTACTTTCGAAGCATTTAGACGCTTACGAAAATTAAATGAAAATATAATTCTTTCATTTGTTATTGATGGTCGTCGTCATTTAATTCTTAACAATTTTAACAATTTTACAACAACGTTACCGAGTTATTTTCTTTTTTGGCGATATTCGTTAGAAAAAAGTCAATAGGTTTGATTTTTTCCCGTATTTTCAATTCATTTCTCTCAATAAAATTCTAGAAATAAAATTTATACCGAAAACTGCGTAATTTTCAATGGAATTCGCGCGAAAAAACAGAATTGTTGATAGAATTCCAACGGAATTTCATTAGAAATAAAACTGAATTCCTCGGACTATCCAATGTAAAAACTTTTATGCAACAATGTTCTTTAGTTGGGGGAGAAGTTGTCCGGGAGAAATTAAACGCGGCGACTTTGCGGAGTATCTCTCACCTGTGACTTCTGCACGAGTGAACATCGGGCGTAATTAATATTCCGGATTCGATCGTGATTATAATATTGGATCACCTATTTTTAGACATCGGTTGTTAATGCAGGGAATATCAATGTAATTAGTGTTGTAAAATTTGATTAACATAATTCGAGGAGCAAGTCATTCATGAGATGAGTCAATGCATTCACAATCGTTAATGAAACGTTTCTCCTTTGAAAATTCAGTAGTGCAGTTGCCGAATAGTCAGGATCAATTTTTTTTTAATATCTTGATCTCATTAGTATTGATTCCGCAGTGTTTCATAAAAATTTAGCCTGTTCTAACTTTTTACTTCCGAATTTTCCTCGCAAGTCAGTGAGGTAGAGAACAATATTATTTTTGCATTAACCAGAAAAAATTCTGAATTAAAATAGTCGAAGGCATCTTCATTAATTCATAATTTTACTGCTTCACTCGACAAATTTTTAATTAGACGCGCATGGAAAAATTCAATAAAAAAACAATAGGTTTTGATATTTCTGTAGAAACTGTCGTGTTGCGATTTTTTCTATTGCAACTTTTTTATGTTTGACAGACTAAGAAAAATACTGTGCAATTTTTTTCGGAGAAATAAAAAAAAAACATTTATGGATTTATTTCTGCTGAATTGGCAGAACTAATTTAATTACCATTTCTAATAGAATTGAAATGCACCTACTTATCAAATTCGTCTAAATCCTCTATTAAATTTATAAAACCCAATTGAAAATAACTTCCCGATATATCAGGAAGTTAAAAATGGCATTTCCTCAATCACAGTATTTATCAATAAATCAAGCATTGATTAATGAATTCATTCATTGTTTCAATCCTCTGATTTAAGCTCATCATTTTCCCCTCGAAACATTAAAAATGATGGACTGCATCTGATCGAGTCACTGATAATCCTCGCGGGGCTGATAGAAATGGCTTGACCGAAATTTATTAATAATTTTATCATCCAGATACGTATGGAAAAATTCTACAAAAAAATAAATAAATAAAAAACGAAAAACAATAGATTTCAACTAATTCTTTCTTAAAATTTTCTCTTAATTTTTTAATAAAAAATAATAAGGTAAAAAAAAATATACCACTTCCGATATAATTTTACTGAAATTCCTTATCAAAATCTACAAAAAAACTAGAATTTTCTATTTAATTGAATTTTTAAAATTCAATTTCAAAAAATGACAATCTTGAATTACAATTTATCAACAAATAAAACATTGAGTAATAAATTATTTCATTAATTCTTTGAATCCCCAGCTTTAAGCTCATCATTTCCTCTCGAAACATTAAAAACGATGGACTGCATCTGATTGAGTCGCTGACGATCCCCGGGGGGCCGATAGAGCGCAATCATCCAAAAAGATAGATAATAGCTGAGACATGATAAAAGACTCAGTGAAAAACATGGAAGAGGGGGGACGGCAGCACGAAAGACAAGTGGGTGCCGGTTAAAAGGGAGACACACGGGCTTTCATGAGGATCCGCGATCGACGGACATCAGTCGGACTCGAAGCACGAGTGGACGATTGCCATCAGAGAAAACAAAGAATTATCAAATCTCGTCGTGATGATTTCGTGACGAATTCTGTGTGTTTATCGGGGTGATTCTCCCTCGTGAACTGGATTACGGTGGTGTTACGGAAATTTAAACTCGGAGAAGGAGGGATTTCACTGTAATAACGCGGAAACATGTCGAAGAAGCAATGGATGGTACTGCTGATGCTGTTCCTGACCTACCTTCTTCTTGGTGCCTCGATATTTTATCACATCGAGAGCAGATTGGAGGTTGAGAAGGTCCAGGCGGCCAGACAGGAACGTGTGGAAATTAATGGTACATGTCAGAATTTTTTTATCATTCGAATGGCCGAGAAAATTATTCTTCAACGATTTCTCGACGAGGGGGACTTTGTTTTCTTGATAAACGTTTGACTTTGGTCAACGAATTTTGAGGATTTTTGTTCTTTTCTTAGGCTTTATCAGTTCAATATCTCGCTCTCATATTGAAATAATGACTATTCAACTCAATTTTCTTCGTAATCCCGAATAATTTGATTATCCATAGTTTAAAATTGAGTTAAAATCTTTTCTTGAATTAAAAAAATGGGATTTTTGTTCTTTTATTACGTTTCATCACTTTAATATTTCGTTCCCACATTGAAATAATAATTATTCAACTCAATTCTCTTCGAAATCCCGAATAATTTGATTATTCACGCTTGAAAATTGAGTTGACATTTTTTCCTGAATTAAAAAAATGTGATTTTTGTTCTTTTATTACGTTTCATCACTTCAATATTTCGTTGTCACATTGAAATAATAATTATTCAATTCAATTCTCTCCGAAGTTCCGAATAACTTGACTATCCACACTTGAAAATTAAGTCGACATTTGTTCCTGAATTTAAAAAATGCTATTCTTGTTCTTTTCTTACGCTTCAGCACTTCAATATTCCATTCTCACATTGAACCAATGATTATTTGACTCAATTCTCTTCGTAATCCCGAATAATTTTATTATTCACACTTGAAAAGTCACTTGACATTTTTTTCTGAATTAAAAAAATTCAAATTTTGTTCTTTCATTACGTTCCATCGCTTCAATATTTCATTCTCATATTAAAATAATAATTATTCAATTCAATTCATTCCGAAATCCCGAATAATTTGATTATCCATACTTGAAAATTATGTTTCCAAAAAACGTAAAAATATTTCAATCGTCACAAAACCGAAAAAATAAATAATAGTTCGATAAAAGAGCAAAAAATGGACAATCACAATAAATAAATTCCAAAATTTTTGTTGACGAACATCACAAAAAAATATCTCTTGACATTTTCCACTCGATACAATTCGATATTTAAAAATCCGCGAAAAATATTTATTTTTCATTATGTTTTACTACTTGTTCAATACAATTCTCTTCAAAATCTCTCCAGAATGCGTTATCCAAGAAAAATAAAATGATTTACTTACATTACTTACGTTGAGAGCAGAGTGGAGGTTGCGAAGGTCCAGGCGGCCAGACAGGAACATGTGGAAGTTAATGGTAATATCTCAGGTTTTCTTTTTATCATTCGAATAATCGAAGAAACGATTCTTCAACGATTTATCGACGAGTGGAACTTCGTTTTGTTGCCGTATGCGCGTCGATTTCATTTCGAAGCGTAAACGTTTGACTTTGGTCAACGAATTTTGAAGATAAACTGCGTTTCGTAGTTATCAGGATAATTCAATATTTGAAAAGATGGGAAAAATCGACTTTTCCTGTTACGTTTCACCATTTCGCTGTTACATTTTGACAGTAAAATAATAGTTGTTTAATACGATTGTCATGTCATTTAAATCATTGAGAAACCGAAAAAAATTGTTGGCTCGATAAAGAAGCAGAATAACAAAGTATTCTTTAATCTCTTCAGTTCAATAGTGGTTAGATCCTCTTGAAAATAATTTAGTATTTTAAAAGATGCGAAAAATGAAGTGTTTTCATTGCGCTTCATTGTTACATTCTGACATTAAAATAATTATTATTCAACATGATTATTTTTTAAATACAAAATGATTTGATTATGTATACTTGAAAATTACGTTTCCAAAGAACAAAATTATTTCAATCATCGAAAAAATTATTGTTACTTCGATGAAAGAACAAAATAACAGAGCATTTTTTATTTTCTTCCGTTCAATAATAAAGTGAACAATAACAATGAGTCAATTCTCAATTTTTTTGGCCAAACCGCAACCAAATTTTGAAAAATGCTATTTTTGTTTTTTTATTACGTTTCATCACTTCAATATTCCATTCTCACATTGAAGTAATAATTATTCAGTTAAATTTTCCCCAAAATCTTAAATAATATGATTATTCGCACTTGAAAATTCCGTTTCCAAAGAACATAAAATTATTTCAATCATCGGAAAACCGAAAAAATAATTAGTACTTCGACAAAAGAACAAAAAGTAGTTAATCGCAATGAATAAATTTCAAGATTTTGGCTAACAAACTCAACCAAAAAATATCTTTTGACATTTCCCCTAGAAACAATTCAATATTTAAAAATCTACGAAAAACATTTCATTTCCATTACGTTTTAATAATTGTTCAATACAATTCTCTTCAAAATCCCGAATAATATAATGACTCCCAATTTCAGAATTCGTGATCCAAGAAAAATAAAATGATTTCAGTCATGAACAAACGAAAACCCCATCGATTGTCCACAGAATTCAATGAACGAATTATTACCTCGATAAAGAGAGCCTATTAACAACAAATTCAATGACACCGAAGAAAAAAAATAAAAGTAAAGAAAAATTATTTGATCGTCAATTTCGATTCATCATATTGTCGACTACCCGATATAATCTAATCGCTTATCACCACGATTACTTTACTACGAAATCAGTGTCGTGATCACTCGTGCCTAATACTTGAGTCATTTTTTTATTTCATTGTGACAAGAAATGAATGCGTCGTGGCTACTCGAATAAATAGCGAACGTGGATTTTTGTATGCAGAGGAGTGTCCCATGATCGCGGTGTGCGAGAGGAAGGTCTAGGCATTGTAACCAAACGGCGTCGGTTACAATGTCGCCAGTATGTTCGCCAAGGGCCTACCGGTGGTATTTAGTTCGGCTCAACTGACTAATCCCCTCATTTTCTAATAGAATGTCTCGTTAAGTAATAGAGTAAATAAATGAAATCACACAATTAAAAGAGGAAGAAATATTTGTCACGTGAATTGACGCCAATTTTGTGTGTGGAGGCGATGAGGAATGAGCATAAACGAGAATTTTATTGCTTCATGTGCATAAAATTACTTTACTGAGAAGATTCTTGAAAATCTGGAGTAGATAAAAAATAGAAATTTCAATTTTCGTTTGTATTGCATAATTTTAAATGCAAATTAATAGATTTCTGTCGTAAAAAAATAACATGATTATCGTTATGAAACATGTTTTTCTTTGAAGTACCTTCACCTCTCGAGAAAACTGAAATCGAATCACAATTTCTACCGATCGTCGAAGTTAAAAAAAATCGATTTATTTGATTCTTAATTGGTTTGTGGGGAGACGGTGAGAAATGAGTGAACGCGAGAATTTTACAGCTTCATGTGAATAATTTAGTTTGCAAAGAAGATTATCAAAAAATATAAAATAGATGAAAAATTTTTAAAATCGAAATTTCAAATTTCGTCCCAATTGAATAATTTCAAATGAAATTTAATTGATTCCTACTGTAAGAAAAATAACATGATTATCATCATGAAACAGGTGTCGTTGAAGTATCGCCACCTCTCGAAAAAACAAAACAAAAATCCAATTTCAAACCGATCGTCGAACTTAAATAAAATCGATTTATTCGAGGCAATGAAGAATGAATATAAACGACAATTTTATCGATCCACGCGCCTCTAATCATTTTGCAAAGGAAATTATCAAACAATCTAAAATAGATGAAAAAAAATTGAAAAATAGAAATTTTCTGTTCAATAATTTTGAATATAATTTAATGAATGTCTACGGTAAGAAAATAACATGATTAATCTGATGAAAAAGGTTTCTTAGAGATACCTCCATCCGTCGAAAAAATTGAAAGCAAATTCCACTTCCCATCGATCATTGAACTTCCAAAAAATTGATTTATTCTCCTGAATGATGACGAAACACTTGTTTAAGGATTGCATTGAGGGATCTATATACAGTAGTCATTAAACAATGTCAAGTTAAATAGATCAATTGGCTGGGTAACTCCTCTCGTGACTCTTCTCTCCCACGATGCAATCAGGAGTGACAAGAATAAGAGTGAAAAAGTTGAAGAAAATTGTGGGAATTCACAGTGGAGAACCTAGATTGCTGGATTTCTGGTGGGGAATGAGGGGATCGAGGATTCCGGGTGCATTCTGAGATGTTTGTGGGACGTTGTCGAGCGTTGGGCGAATGCTGGGACGATCGGTTGATAAGATAATTGTTGACAATTGAACAGGAACGATAAACTGTACATGATCATTTTTGTGGTTGATTAGCAAATATTATTTTGATGGGCTTCGTCAGGCTTTCATGTGGTGTTATTCATCATTATGGTTTCACAATGCTTGAAATTTATTGAATCGAGAAAAAATCGTTAAAAATAATTTCATTTATTTCATGAATTAAAGAAAATTCTATTCCATTTCTATTGCATTTTAACCCGTGCGAAATAAATTTAAAGAAAAGCCTAGAGAATTCAATAGAAAAGTCTACTGAATTCCTCCTGAACTTTCTATTTGTTTTCGACTGGTTCTATTGAAAAAAAACGCGTAGATCTACAAACTTTTTCAATAGAAACGCTCAATGGAAAATATTCTACAAAAAAAACAATAGAATTCGATTTTTTGCACAACTGATTCTATTGAGATATTTTCTATTAAAATGTCTCGACTCAAATTTTCTAATTTTTATTTGATTTTTTAATGAAATGAGATGAAAAATAGAACTGAAAAAGCTTAAAAAGCTCATTTCAAGAAATTCCAGCAGGAAATATTGTATAGAAAAATGGAATTCAGCTGATTTTTTCTATAAATAGTTTCAATTAAACAATTTTTATAAAAAAAACATTCAGTAAAGTTGCAAAATTCTTCAATCGAATAAAGAATGATCTATCTATTTTCAGTAAACGTTAAAGAGAAATCTTATAGAATTTTCTGTCGAATTTACTAGGTTTTTCTACGAAAATTTTCCGTGCGTTGTTAAATTTTCTTCATCTTTTTTAATCAGAGCTTTTATTTCAACAAATTATTATTTCAGCTCTCCTTCATGCTCACTATATGCCAGAATCCACAGAAGACCAACACGAGATTCTCGAGAAGCTCACAGTCTACTGCGGCAAATCGGTCTACAATTATAGTGAGAACGAGGAGGACCCATTGAAATGGGACTTCTACAACAGCTTCTACTTCGCCTACACTGTCGTCAGCACCATCGGTAAATAAATTAAATTCGTCACCCCCAATTGGATTGTTGCATGACGTTGCCTATTGCGTGCAGTGATGAAATGTGAAAATTAGATAAAATTCCCGTATTAATTTCAAGTGACGAAGACTTCCGGATAATTTCACAGACGTAAACACCAATTTGTCACTTTACGCACGAGAAATTATGAGTGATATGAATTCATTGTTGGCACTCAGGATGAAGTCTTGGGTCTACTCTGTACATTATAAAATCTTCTTACTACTCTTGCACACAGAGAAAAAAATTGATTTTACAAAATTTTGAAGTTCAGGCGTTTTGTCGATTTTTCAGTAACACTGTTACTAATTTCCAGTGAAATTGTCACTAATTTTTAGGGACATCATCCCAAATTTTCAGAGTAATGCACTGATTTTTATCCATCTCTAAGTTTTCGGAATCTATCACCAAATTTCAGTGATAGAAATGACCAATAATCAGGCTCATTCGAGTCAGTGTCCAGTGTCGCCAATAATTAGTGATAGATTTCTAAAAATTAGTGACATATCCTCTTTAACCAGCGAAATGTTTGTCACCATCAAAATTTTTTTCTCTTGGTGCACTTATTCCCTTTCTCGTTGGAATACAGAAACGCGAATTGAAGTGATTTGAGCAGAAATTGTGATCAACGAAATTTAAGTTTCCACTTTTCTGTCTATGGATAAACAAATATGGTCCAGACAGCCCGACGGTTAATTCTCAAATGATTTATTTATTAATTCACTTTTCATATGTATTTATTTACGCAGGTATTCATTGTTGTTTTATGGAAAAAAATATTTCTAACGATTGTTTTGAATTTCGTGATTTCTTCGTGAATATAAACTTTATTAAGTGCTACTTGTTGACACCAATGGCAAATCAATTTATCATAGAGCTTCGGAGATACGGATATTTTTAAAACATTCGTCAAAGATTACTCAAAGAATAATGACGGAAAATTGATGTCATGTTCTCTTTATTCTATCGAAATATGAAAGTTTGTGAGATATTCATTCAGAAATCGGTTTTTAACGATAGGTAAAAATATTATCATAAATATCAATCAAATTATGGCTTCAATGCCCTCCTAATCAGGTTAAAATTCGTTATCGAGCTACGAGATAGCGTAATGAGCTGTTTTCCCAATGGAAGCATTGTTTTCGTCAACATTCGTGTCAAAATGTATTATACAACTGTGTAATTCATGAATAAAATCAGCCGAAAACGAATTGAATTTTTAACATAAAAATGCTTAATGGGAAATATACTATAGAAAAAATTAATAGAATCCGATTCTTTTATACAACTTATTCTATTGAGATATTTTCTATAGAATTTCGCTAGGAAATTCGCTAGGTTTTTCTATGAATTTTTTTCGTGTCTGTCTCAATGAAAATATGTATCCCTTCATTGAAAGTTCGAAATATGGCAGTTTCGAAATTACTTAGATCGATAGTTTTTCATTTTCATTTTCTCCAGAATACGAAAATCTAGCTCCAACGAATTCCCTCAGGAAAATCCTCGTGATCTTCTACGGTCTGTTTGACATCCGTAGCTTATCTACGCGTTTTTTTCAATTGAAATGTCCGAGGGGAAATATTCTACAGAAAAAACCAATATGACTCGATTCTTCTGTACAACTGATTCTTTTCATAAATTTTCCAGAAAATTTCTCGACTCCAATTTTCCGAGTTTTTTTGTTTAATATTTTTAATAAAAAGACAAGCAAAATAAAGATAAGATAAATAGAAAATCCATCATTAGGAAATTTAATCTCTAACAGAAATGTTCACTGGGAAATATTCTACAGAAAAAACCAATACGATTCGATTCTTCTGTATAACTTATTGTATTCATCTATTTTCCAAAGGAATTCCTCGCCCCCAATTTTCCAAGTTTTTTTGTTTAATATTTTCAATGAAAACCGAAGAAAGATAGAGTGAAGAAAAAAATTAGAAAATTCCGTTGCAATAGCAAAGTTGTTTAGAAAGATGGAATTGACAGATTTTTTCTGAAAAATAATTTCTATTGGGCATTTGTTGTAGAAAAAAGCGTAGTAAAGCTGTAAAATTCTTCAATAGAATCAGCCAAAACTAATAGAAAGTTAAAAATATCGTTTTTATTTTTAATTTCTTTGAGCGTTAGTTTTTCATTTTCGCTTCCTCTAGGATATGGAAATCTAGCTCCAACGAATTCCCTCAGCAGAATCCTCATGATCTTCTACGGTCTCATTGGCATCCCAATGAACGGTATTCTCCTTGCGCAACTCGGCGAGTTTTTCTCCATAGTATTCATCCGAGCCCACCAAAAATACAAATCCTACAAGCAGCACCATCAGGACGAGTGCAAGAAAAAATTGACTCCCCTGGAGAAACGAAAAGCTGGTCTAGCTGTGCAGATTCTCATGTACCTGGCACCTGGTTTCGTTATGTTCATATTTTTCCCCGCATTCCTATTCTCTTATTACGAAGGATGGTCGTACGACGAGGCTGTCTATTACGCATTCGTCACACTGACTACCATCGGATTCGGGGATTACGTTGCTGGTGAGTCGAATCAATTACTTTTTCCCTCATTTCACGGAATCGACGAGAGGAAATCGATCGAAAAAATCCGATCGGGAACTCTCGACGAAATAACAAATTTATGTCAATTTTTCCTCCGGGGGAAGAACTGATTTCACTGATAAAATTTATTATTTCGTAATCGATAATGGTGATTGAGATGTTCTCGTGATTAATCCATAATCTGATTATTAATTTGATGAATGCAGCGTTTGAAAGTGGACTCAAGGTGAGGGAAACTCAAATTCTTCAAAATTTTGTTTGTATGTTCGGGGAGGGGGGGATTCAATAGCAAATTGGAATGCGACTGTTGAGGAAATTTACTGTAATTCCAAACATTTTCCGCTCATTTCCCGATAAAGAAATTAACATTCTTTCAATTTCTCATTGAAGAATAAAAGAAAAAATTCAGGAAATTCATGACATTAATTAATTTTCTGGAATTCAGGTAACAACTGCATTTGAATTTTCAACTTTGTGAATTTAAACTCAATTTATAATATCAAACATTATATTTAATTGAATTTTCAATAATTGAGAATAAAAAAATGGTTTCTCAAATTTTTACAATTTTCTATTGATAAAATTTAATATTTTGTAATTGATAATGTTGTTTGAGATGTTCTCTGTGATTAATCCATAATCTGATTCTTAATTTGATAAATGCCAGCGTGTGAAAGTGGACTCAAGGTGAGGAAAAGTGGAATTCTTTGAATTTTTGTTTGAATGTTGGGCGGGTGGGAAAGAATTCAATAGGAAATTCTAATGCGTTTGTTGAGGAATGCCAAATATTTTCGGCTGATTTCCCGATAGACAAATTAAATAGAAAAAAGTAAATTCAAAAAACAATAGATTTAAATTTTTTCACACTAAAAAAATTAATTTTATTGAAACTTCCAAGGACATTGCTCCTATTTTTAAAATAATTCTCTTTCTCATTCACTTCAGAAAATGAAAATCAGTTGATTGTTTTCCATTAAATATTTTTTCGAATTATTTTCCCAATTTCAAATAGAATTCTTCATGGATTTTTTTCATAAATGATGAAAAATTAAGTGAGATGGAGTCGATAAGAAATCTAACGAGTTTCATGAGGAACTTGACTAGAATTCCAAATATTTTCCGCTCATTTTCTGATGGAGAAATTGAATAGAAAAGAATAAACACAAAAAATTGATAGATTAAAATTTTTTCAAAACAAAACAAAAAATTTTATTCCTTTGAAATTTTCAAGTATTCCTTTTCTATTTTTGAAAAATCAAAATCTATTGATTCTTTTCACTAAACATTTTTCCGAAACATTTTTCAACTAAACAAATCAACAGAAAAATTGATAGAACTTCAAATAGAATTCTTCACTGAATTTTTTCATAAATGGTTTCACTGCGCATGAAATGAATCCCAGTCCATCTTATCCATTAAAAATGAATTTCGTAATATTCTTTATCAGGTCAAGACAACACAAAAGGCAGCGGTGTTTTGTTCATCATGTACAAATCCTTCCTCATTGCCTGGATATCCTTCGGCCTCGGCTACGTCGTCATGATAATGGCCTTCATAACAAGAGGAATGAGAAGCAAGAGGATAGTCCGTCTCGAGCATAAATTAGCCATGAATTTGAAACAAACTCAGAGTAAAATATGGAGTGAGTTCAACAAGGAGGTCGGCTACCTCAGGCGTGTGTTCAACGAGCTGCAGTTGTCCAAAGTCAAGGTGAACAGCTCGTCTGAATCATTAAACCTTGATTGGGTGATTGATCAATTAATTTGGTTTTAATCGATTCAATTAATTCCGCAGAGAGTTTACGTGGATGAGTATGACTATGAGATGCCACCGGCTAAGTTGATGAGGAGTAATAGTTTTCCGGATCTCCGGGAGCTTGTTATTGGGGGGTTGGCTCCACCAACTCCACCGCATCCGAGACGAAGGGCTAATAGCGAAGTTGTGCCATTGGTAATTATTCACTCCTACTTATGGGAACTGATCCCTTTCTATTAATTTGCAATTTACTTCGGGAACGAATGACTTCAGAAAATAATGTGAAAAGAATTTTTTCGAAGGTGACGAAATTTGTTATTCATGAGGTCTTTTGACAATTTGGCTTGAAGTCATTATATTTTACGAGATAAGGAAAACGAAGCAAGTTGATCTTTCTCAACTTATTAATTGTGAAATTACTTCGATTTACCAAAAAACTCCAGGGATTTTTCCAAGTCATTCTATTAAATTTCTATCAGAATTCCAATTTACATTATGACATGATCAATAATCAATGAAATTCAAATTTTACATTACATTATCAATCAGTAATTGCCATTAAAGATTGAGGATAATTGAGATAATATTTAATCAGTACCAGACATTAAAAATTACTCAATTAATGATTAATACGCAATTTTTATATCTCAATGAAGATTAGCAAACATCAGTTATTCGTTCAATTTTATCAGAAAATATTTCCAAAATAATGATTACCTTCGACCCCTGATATCAAGAAATATTTTTTATCTCCGTCCTCGAACTAATCGATTCAATCTTACCCCTAGGAGCCCCAAATAATATATAATTTCTAATTTTTCATTATAGTAGCAATTTTTGATATCTTGATGAAGACTAAGATATCAGTTATTCGTTCAATTTTCAGAAAATATTTCTGAAGTAATGATTACACCTGAACCTTGACACTTTTTATCTTCTTCACCGAACTAATTTATTTAATCTACTCCACAGGAGCCCCAAGCAATATGCCATTTCAAATTGTTCGACACAGTGTCACTTTTTACATCTCAATGAAGCTTAACAAACATCTATTTTTCCAATTTTATTTTTTCCAATTCTATTTTTCCAAAGTAATGATTACTCCTGATCCCTGACATGAAGAAATACTTTCTATCTTTATTATCAAACCAATCGCTCCAATTTTCCGCCTAGCAGCCCCAAGCAATATACAATTTCAAATCTTTCGTCACAATGACAATTTTTCCATCTTAATGAAGACCACCAAACATCAACTACTCATCCAATTTTACAAAAAAAAATTCCAAAATAATGATTACCTTCGACCCCTGACCCCAAGAAATATTTTCATCTTCGTCACCAAACTAATCGACCAAATCACCCCCCTAGGAGCCCGTAGTCCCCCGAGTAGTCTCGGAAACGGATCTCCAGCGAATCGACAAGACTGCGACATTCGCGACGCACGCGATGGTGCAACCAGCGGAGCTCCTGGCGCGCCTGGTGAACATCCTCGGTTACATCCCCCCGCCCCCGGACGACGACGAGCAGAGCCCCGACTGCGACGCCCGCTCCGGCGTCGAGTGTTTCAGCGACAAAGAGATCCTCTCCAACGAGTGTAAATTCGGTATCGAGAGATCCCCCTGCGGCAAGCCCCGTTCCCGAGCGGTGAGTGAGGTGCGCCTGGACCCCAAGTTCGACCCGAGCGCCAGCAGAAATCAGGAGTGGACGTGGTCGGGTCCGGCAGCCTCCAGGAAGATCCAGGAGCTCATCAGGGCTCGTCGAAACGACGCAAAAACGAAGGAAAAAGAGAGAGAAAAAGAAAAAGAGTGCAAATCCATCTTCCCAGCGCTTCCGAAATCCGTTCCTCTCCCCAAATGGATAAAACAACTGTCGACTAAGAAAGACCCGAGACCGAGCAACTCAGCCTCAGCCGGGGAACTCGACACAGACGACGAGAACTACCTCTCCAACATGAACCCCCTGCCCTCGTCCTCCAACTACTTCACTCACACGGGGGCGAACCTGCCCTCGTCCCTGGGAGGCAGCAACCTCCTGGAGGAGACCTCCCTAGCGGACTTCCTCCGGGCCTTAACGGCTCTCCACACGAGGGTCGGAGCGGTCCCGGAGGACTACATCAAAAAGCCCCAGAGAAAAATGGGAACAGCGTCCCTGACCCCGCCGAAACTCCCCAGCTTGCTGACCCTGTTCTCACCCCCTGGCTCCCTCCCTCAGAGCAATCAGACGACTGTCACCTCGGACCCTGCTGGGAGGCGGCTCTCGTTGAGGCCTGACACCTCCGGCAACTCGACACCAAGCTACAACCGGCGCAGCAGTGCAGCCCCCGGGGTCAAAGGTAGATCGAAATGTTTTTTTATATTTAGAATATTGAGGTCATTTCGGTTTTTTTAGTATGAAATGTATATGCTGCGTTGTTTCGTATTTTTTCATTTTGTCTGCATTTGCAATTCATTCGTTAGTTTATTTATTTATTAAGATTTTATTTTTATTGCGTAAATCTTGAATTTCATATTTTCTTAAAATTTTCTGCAAAAACTTCCCAATTTTTCCAGGATCTTGGAATTATTTGCGAATTCTGCAGAAGATCCAAAAATGTCCTCAATATTTTGAAAACGTGAGGATATTTTTTTTTTGAAGAATATTCCCACATTTTTTTCTAACTCGTTAGAAAACTCAAGAATATTTTTAACATTTATAGAAAATAATTTTCTAAAAGTTTCTATGTTGCATTTTCGTTTCAACGTTTATCATGCTCAAAAAATTCCCCGGAGAAGGAATTGACTTCAATTTATGGTGAAAAAAAATCATGAAATTCCGGATTTGAATGACTCCAAATTCCAAAATAAAAAAAAAACAATGAAAACAAAACTTTTTTTTTGCAATGAAATTCCAAATTTTTGAGCCACAAAGACATGAATTCCCCAATTCACTTGAATTTTCAATTAAAACGTGAAAATTCAGTACTAAATTGCGCTGAATTTCAATGAAGTCAAAATTAAAGAATATATCCACATGAATTCCCCCAATTTCTAATTTTAATTTCATGGATTAACGGAACTCAACAATTGAATTTCTAAGAATATAATTGACCTGAAATTTGCAGTTTCCATTGATTTCTTCATAAAATTTCAAATTTACAATACCGAAACTCATGGAATCATGGATAATAATTCAATTCCTTCGAATAATTGAATTAAAATTTGAAGTTTGAGATTTCCACTGATTTCTCCCCAAAATTTCAAGATTCCAATAGCAAAATTTCCCGAAATTTCGACGAAACAATAACTTGAAAAAAATTTTCAAATGTCCCGAAAACTTCAGTCAAACATTTTCACCCTTTCTCTAATCCCAATTTCTCAATTTCCAGGTAGAACAAGAAGATTCTCTCTCCGTCCGGTGGCGACGCCCCTGGGGCCGACGCCGCAGGCGTCTCCCTACCTGGGGCACCCGAAGCCCTTCCCAAGTCCTCCACCCGCATACAGCGCAGACCCCCCCTTCGAGAGTCCCAAGGAGCCCCTGGTGCAGATGGAGGGCGCGCCAGGGTCCTCGTCCCCAGTGGCGTCCTCAGGGCATCGCAGGTTTTCCCTGAGACCAGCGCAGTTGGACACCCCCCCAGGTCCGGCGACGCCCCAGGCCTCCAGGGCGATGCCCAGGTGGCGAGCTGGGATGCTGCAGAGACAAATCAACCAGTTGCACCTCCAGAAGAGGGTCCGAGCGTTCAGCCTGAGCGACGTGAACACCGAAGGGATGAAAAGTGGTGAGAAGAGCATTGCGATCAGTCCCCTGGCCCTGGAGCCCTCTGTCAAGACGAATCCGGGAAAGGGGTCGACCCAGAAGACGGTCACCATCGTGTCCCCAAGCAGGGAAGGCAGGGGGAAGACGAGCGACGTCAAGCAGGGGAGACCGGGGTTCCTGAGGGCGATCTCCGCCTCGAGTAATCCCTTCACTTCAGGAGTAACGAATCCCTTTTTCGATGGAGACGAGAGGGACAAAAAGAGAGGGGATTTGGGGGCTGAAGAGGAGTCGAATGACCAGAGGACAGTGTTCGAGGCCCTGAGGGACGTCAAGACCATCGGGACTGCCCCTGCAGAGGCCGAGGCTCGAGCTTCCAGCGTAGAACTAGTGGAGACGGTTTCCAGACGTGAGGACGAACTCGGGGTGCATCAGGATGAGGCGCATCCTGAGGAGATTGGAGGTGAAAATGTGGGGGCGACTGAGAGAGATGATCGGACTGATAAAACGAGAAAAATCTCGGTTGTGTCGATCGGATCCTGGGGGGAGGCGAAGAGGGGGGGCAGGAAGGTGTCGACTGTGTCTGAACACAGCACTGGGGAGTCCTCGTCGAGCAGCAGGAAAACTTCCTCTGGGAGGAGTCCTGGGGATAAGCCGAGGGTTTCCATTGACTCTTACAAACCACTTCTGGAAGTCAAGATTGATAAGCCGAGTGAGAATGTCTTCGAGAGGTATCAGAGGGCTTCCATGCAGAGCTCCTCGGATGGGGATTCACTGCAGGAAGTTAAGGTTGTGGGGGCGAAGGAGAGTAAGGTGTCTTTGGAGAGGGATAAGGGTCCTGCAGAGTCCACGAGTTAATTTAGGGCAGAGAAATGAAAATTCAGTGGCGAATTGGCGAAATTTTTCAAGATGAGTTTTTGGGAGTTGAGTCTTCAGTTTCAGTGGTTTTTCGTCGATTTATACGTAATTTTTAAAGGATACTGTGATAGTACCTGTAATTTTCGAGTATTTTAGGGATTACGTGCACAAAAAAATTTATAGAAAAATCGCACTCGCTGGAAATTCTATGGAATTTCTGTTGGAAATTCTATCAGGTTTTCGACAATCTATTGAGAAATTCCACTGCTCTTCTGTGTTTTTTCAATAGATAAGTATTTTATAAAAAAAAACTAATAGAATTTGATATTTCTTTACAATTTATTCGGAATTTGGAAAAATCTGGCGTAGAAATTTCTATGCATAATATCTCAATAGAAAAAGTCGTAAAAAGATATGAAAAATCTATAAATAATTTCTATTGAAAAAAAATGAAGAGTTTGAAATGGATGGAATAATGTAATACGAATTGAATGCATTAGGTTTTTCTACGAATTTTTTACGTATAATTGAAGTGAGGAGATGACTGTGAACTCTAGACAAGAATTATACAACACGTATGAAAGTATTTATGGGAATAAGTGAAAAAGAATTGAAGTTCTTCATCTCCTCAGTCAAGTGTTTAAAGAAACTCGGCTGGCACGAGTTAATACCTAGTTTTTCATGTAAAATTCTCCTAAAAAATCATTTTTCATGTAAATATTCCTGCTCATCATGATAATCTATAGGAGATAAATTCCCCGACGTGACACACGTGTCGAAATAACATAACAATAATATTTTTGTAACAAGCCTGTAAATTTGTAAATTATTGGAATTAATTTGTAGTAGGGCTGACCGTTTTCATCATGATTTTATTGAAAAAGGTGAAATAAATTACGAGTTGTTGTCATTGATCTGTCATTTAAACACAATTTTCTCGTGAAATTAATTGATTGAGGTAAGCTGTGTGATAATTACGAAAGAATTGAAGTTTTTCATTTCTTCAGCCAATTTTTTTAACAAACTAGGTTGGCACAAGGTAATATCTACATTTTCACGTGGCATTCTTCTAAAAAATGATTTTTCATTGCAACATTCGTGCTCATGAGAACACACAAATATAAATTTATGAATTTATAAATTTACCAACTCATTACTATAATTTATTTATAAATTTATAAATTATGAGAATGAGTTGGTGAATTTATAAATTATAAGAATGAGTTCGTAAATTTATAAATTATAGGAATGAATTCGCAGTAAGGCAGATTTTTTTACCATGATTTTATTGAAAAAAGTGTTTGAAATAAATTACGAGTTGTTATCATTGATCTATCATTTAAACACAATTTTCACGTGAAATTAATTGATTCAGGTAAACTGTGTGTCGATCATTTGGTAGAGGAGAAGATGTGAAATTACAACGGATATGAAACAAGAGAAAATTCCTATGATCATTTAGATTGATTCTGTAGCCACGTTTTGATCTCGTCGACGAGTTTCTTCCGAGGGACGGATCGTTCAGCTCGCGTTGTCACTTCCCTGAGAGTGACTTCGCCTCTCTTGAGTTCACCCTCGCCGATGATAATGGCCAGGGGAATTCCACTCTCCTCGCAGTACTGCAGCTGCCCCAGGAGTTTGGGGTTCTTCTTGTAGTGGTGCTCAGCTTTGATACCGGAGTCCCATAATTCAGCTAGGATCTTCATTCGCTCCTCTTGTAGGTTCTTCTGGGCTGTTGCAACGTATGCTTCTACCTCAGTTGTTCTAGTTTTTTGTCCTGAATTCGCTTTACGATTCTCGAGGACACTGAAAATCCTCTCCACTCCCAGAGATACTCCCACACAGGGGGTCTTCTTTTTTGCGTCAAACATACCTACGAGATTGTCGTAGCGACCACCACCTGCTACACTACCTACTTCACTGTCTGAAAATAAAAGAGGGAACAAAAATTCAAGTCGAGAACAATTTTATGACTTGAAGGTAATTATTTCGACAGGGGAAGAATTGAAAGAAAAAATATAATTTAGTTTCCACTAAAAATATGAAGATTTTTAGACAAATTTCTGATTTTTTTTTCGTTCCTCGTCAAATTCTCTAGAAGAAAAAAGCTCTTAACATTCTGTTACAAACCTTTTTTTTTTCATTTGCAATTATTTTATTGCAATTGATTCACCCCTGAGTAATAAAAAAATACATGCGAAAATTCTATTTAGTTCATTCAACAAATATCTACAAAACTAGTGGATCGAGAAAAAAAGTCAAGAGATATTTTGTAGTCCATGAAATTTATTCTCTACAGATGCCTCGCTATTTTTCTCCAATCCCTCAATTTCGAGTATTTGTTGAATTAGTTGGAGATTTTGTTTTTTAACAAAATCCAATTGATTCAAAAATTTAGCACAATTTACCGATTTGAATGCAATTATTCATTAGTTACATTTTTCGTTAAATCCATTACTTTTTTTAACCTACAATTATTTCTATATTGAACTAAAATTAATTCATTCCTAACTAAATTTAATTTATTCCGAAAATATCTGCAAAACTAGTGGATTCCTGGAAAAAAGTCAAGAAATATTATGCAGTCCATGAAATTCTCTGCAAAAAACGTGTCTTGAAATTTTTCCTGCTAAACTACCTGTGAATTTTATTCTCATAATTTATAATAAATTGAAAAATATTCACCAGTCAAAACAGCTTCATAAATAACTCCAGTATAATAATCGAGTCCCCTAGCAAGGCTGAGATCAAACAGAACCTTATCAGTGACTCTATAAATGTCACAATACTTCAGCAACAGTTCCATAGCCTCGAGTCCCTGTTTAGCAGCAGTTTGCTTCATGAGTGCCTCATCCTGCTTAAGTTCATCAATCAACTTCGCACCCCCACTCTTGGAGACGTACTCCCCAATTTTGTCGGCAATGGCCCCATCCAACTGCTTCTCTTCGACCATCTCCTTCCTCACCTCCTCCCAGAGACTCTTGTCCAGTTTATCCACAGACGAGCAGATCGTTCTGAACTTGTCCTGGGGGACGCCACACGCTGCGAAGATGCCGTCCAGCAGACATCGGTGATTCACCTTGATGACGAAGCCACCCAGGTCCAGACTCGTTAAAGCTTCAGCCACAATTCTGATGCACTCAGCGTCCGGGATCATCGGGTCGTACTGCCCAGCAATGTCAAAATCACACTGGTAGAACTCTCGATAACGTCCTTTGGTCATTGAGGGATTGTCTCGCCTGTAGACCTTGGCAATGTGGTACCTCTTGATGTTCGTTATCTTGGACATTGCGAGGTAACGGGCGAAGGGCACTGTGAGGTCATAACGCAGGGCTAGGATCTCACCGCCCTGGTCCTTCAGGTCGTAAATCAATTTTGTATCTTCACCATATTTTCCAGTCAAAACTTCCTGCAAGCGCAAGTCAGTGCTGCGTGTTATTTTGGAGGTTTTTTTGACGGAGTAGTTTTTAAATGGAATTTTTAGTCATGGACCCTTCCAACCAGAGATCAGCACAAATATTACCTTCACCGTTGATATTATTATTCATCTCCATAGTTAATATTATTGTCTTATTGTATTAGTTAATATTATTGTATTAATATTATTGTATTATACTGTAGTTTGTCGTGGGCAATGTGGAGAAAATAATAAACTGCACTAAATAAACTAAATTATTGTCAATTCGCGACGTTTCGCTTATAATTTAAGCTTCCTCAGGCTTATTGACAATTGATTCCATAGTCATATCATTCTCTGAAATATTACATGTTGGGAGCTCTAAACACATTGTTACGTTTATAAAACATAAAAAAATGTGGCACGCAACACTATCAACAGACTAGCATATATTATTTCCTCCGGTCATGAACTATTACCTTCACCAATATTATTTTTATTCATTTATTTAATTTATTTTCTGCCCTTTTGTAAATTTCTGTAATTTTCTTCATTTAAGAGGCATTCGCAGAATAATACGTGAAAGAAATTTTCAACTGGTCACGTCTTACTATTTCATCAGTAGAATGATTATTGAAATTATTATTCGATCTCTCATTTCACGAGAAGAATAGGTAGAGTAGAGCAATCTCTGGAAGTGACAAGAAATTTGTGAAAGTCGGAATGTTACATCATTTCAAGCCTAGGGTCATAAAAAAGTCGGTTGGTTCATTAACCATCGTGTTTCTCAAGGTATACTTCAGAAACAATTCCCTCATAATTTTCCATTCACAGACTTCTGTTCCGCTCAACCTAATAACGGTAACAAGTCAAACCAAATTCTTTTCCTAATACAATAGTTCAATTTTAAAATGTGTAAACTCATCAAAAAGATAAGTCCATAAAAATGTTTCTTGGAAAATATATTATTATGGCGATAAGTGAAAAATTCGGCATGGGGAAAAATAGACCAGGAAAAAATAGCCCACACATCCAAAACGTGATAAAACCCACCCAATTTCAAAATTTGCTTTGATCTATTTTTTCCGGGATTCGAACAATTCTAGTGGAAATTATTTTGTGAATATCTTAAAAATGAAGAAAACATGAAAATGTGTTATTAGAGCTTTTTCATACGTTTTTTTTCATTACGTGACTATTTCATCAGTGGATTGATTAAAATTATTGTTATACCTTTCATTTCTCTAGAAGAATAGATGGTTAGAAAAAACTAAAGTAATCTCAAGAAGTGACAAGCATTTTGTGAAAGTTAGAATGTTAGATAATCCATGGGAATATATCTAGGAAAATATATTATTGCTGAAATTGCATTATTCAAAAAATATTGCACCTACTTTGAGTTCAAAGATAGGAGTATCAATAGTCTCAGCCCCGTGACGTTTGAAAACACTGATTATTTTATCCAAAACACCCAGCCTGAGTGCCATCTGCTCAGGATTATAATCCCTGGTGCCCTTGGGGGTCTTAAGACTGAATTTCTGTGGCTCACCCCCATCTCCAAGCTGTGCTTTAAGCTCCAACAATTTAGAAACCTCCTCAGCAATCTAAAAAACCCCAGAAAACACTTTCACCTTAGCTCCACAAATCAATTCAGCAGTCAAACGAAAATGATTATCCACTTGCTCTCGTACCTGCGTAGCAGCAACATTTGACGAGTTGCGACATTTGCAGGTGGCAAGGAATAAATTAGTTCGCATCAGACGTAACATGATTCATCGAGGGGGGATGGACGATTAACGGCAGAACCAGAATCAAAGTAAAAAGTCCGCTTCAGTGATGATTATTTCAACTAGTTGCAAACATCAGAGATTTTTTATTAACTAGTATACGTCACTGCCACATTTTTAGAATAATATTTATACGAAATTTTTAAGAATATTTCAGTGGAATAGTTGCTGTTGTCAAATTGATTTTCAAAAGAATCGATTATCG